CGACCTTGTTTTTGTTCAGCAGTCAGCAGTCGTGGCACGAATTTCGCAGCCACCCTTTTCATTCCCAAATCTTCTGTCAAAATTCGCTGAACTGAGCTCCAAGTCACTCCCGACAGCTCCACAATTTCTTCAATGGTCCGTCGTCGATCTTCCTTGATGATTTCACGAATTTTTTCAACATTTTCATGTGTTCGGGCCGTGGAAGGACAACCAGAATGAGGTTTGTCATCAATTGACATTTCACCATTTTTGAAACGGGAAAACCACTCAAACACTTGAGTTTTCCCCATAGCATCATCCTTGTACGCCGTTTTTAACATTTCAAGAGTGTCTGTTCCACTTTTCCCAAGCAAAAAGCAGAATTTCACCGCCGCACGCTGTTCACGAAAATCAGCCATTGCAAAAACGACGATCACACAAAACAGTTGTCACTATAAACTCTGCTGAAACTAGTCCTTACCTTCTGAAGCAACGGTAGTCGGCTTATCGACTCAGGAATGTTAGCTCTATGCGCTCATAGCGGCAAAATGCGGTACTACAAAAGCTCTGCCCACAAAAAAATTCTTTCGGTTTCTTTTTGGTACCCCATCATATGTAGGACAGACAGGTTGATCCATTGAAACAAGGCACAAAGAATGTGAACAACATCTGCATGTGTATCAACAAGACAAATCCACTGTAGCAGAACACAGCACTGAATCAGGCTTCCAGATAAAAAGCTCCATGAGACTAAAACTCTACCCAAGACATCAGGTTTCATGGACCAATTTGTCAGAGATGCAATGGAAATAAAATTGCATCTGGACAATACAAACAGAGGAAGGCTTTGAACTCAGTTAAGCATGAAATCCCAGCACCAGATTAGTAAGGCACTCCAACATGCACATGAAGAAAATTCCAAGACACAGGTAAGGGCATGTGGAAAAGAAAACAAAATAACTGACAACAGAGAAATGAGTTTAAGCATCATGATTATAGGTTAGAATTAGATGGTGACCACATTGACCCTGAGAGAAATGGAGATCTCTGAAATGTTGATTTTTAATTCAACATTGACACAGCTGATTGCCTGAAAAGATTTTGGCACTATGTGGTGATGTTTAGCTTTTCTATCTGTTAACATGCCAGTTCTTACTTTAATGACAAGATTTAGTGGCGCTTACATGGGGAATTTGAACCCTTGAAACTTTCTTCTGGATTTTCTGACACATCTTAGCAGTCTTTACTCCACCATATAAAACAATCAATGTTCCAGTGTAAACTTGTTCCTGACACAATGGAGATATTGTGACAACTGCAACAAAATTATTGAAACTTCTGTTGTACAGAACCATTAACTTACACACTTTAGAGCCACTGATCTAGTAATTTTGGCAACTGGTATCTTAAGTCAGTTACAGTGGCAGGCTTGATTTAAGTTGACATTCCCCCCCCCCCCCCNCCCCTCAGATTTTAATGGGCATGTGAATACATAAAACAAGATATTGAAGCATGAGAAATTCACATTTTATACATGAAATTCCACCCTGCGATGTTACTCCAGTCTATCCTGAGTGTGAGGATTATGGATCCTCAGTAACTATATTACTCTGTGATGTAACTCCAGTCTTGTATTCCTGCATTTGGCTTTGTAAAATGATAGCAACCTGCTGTAATGAGTGTACATAGGTGAAAGGCTATGTATTTGCACAGGCACTAAAGCGCTTGTGTGTGCAGTCATGCGGTCCATATATTACCTGAACAACATATCCAAAATGTTCACTCAATGTGAATTGTACTCTTTTCTTTATTTGTTGCATTGTATCCTTATAAAATAGATTGTGTACCTGCAAGATCATTCATGTACGAGTATTGCACTGTTTGCTTTGATAAAAAAAATATGTTTGTCATATTGTATTCTAATGGGGCCTATCATAGTGTAAATGTGTGTGGAGTGTTATACCTGCATTCTGTGATTGTTAAGGTATGGGTGTAATATTGCAATCATTGTGTTGCAGTTTGGGAGGGGGCACATTCCTTGGACTCTGTTGTCTGCTGACAGATTGTAATTCCTTTGAGGAAGCAATTGATTTGGCAGCTAGTGGAGACAACACACGTGTGGACAAATTGGTCAGAGATATCTATGGTGGTGACTATGAGCGTTTTGGACTGCCAGGAGATCTGGTGGCTAGCAGGTGAGTAGCTGCAGATGGTATGCTGTGAATCACAGACAGCACACAGTGTGAAATTACATAATGTATGTCTGCAGCAAAGACAAAACAACTCCATCCAGTGTGACTATTTAAGTTTTACTACTTGAAAACTTAGCACCCTTACATGTTTCCATCCTTACGGATCACCTCCAGAGGGAACATCAATACTTATTTGGAAATTACTATCACAATTCTGTGTTCGTGTTTGTTCGTGGCTTGTTGTGTTGTTTTCGAACAGTGAAGACAACGCAGCAAGCCATGAACAAACACAGGACGATACTAAGAATCTCCTTCTCAAGATAGACAGGCGGCACAAGTTCAGTCCCCTTCAAGAAAGATGATAGGAGAAGTGACATGAACCTACTTGGTTTATAAATTTTAACTTAAACAACAAAGTTTTAAAAACTTTAATACCAGGAAAGCTGCTGTGATTGTGAAAAATTGGATTTTGTGTATATTGTGTATTCCAGGCATTGTGTGTGTATGTAATTTAGCACTCAGAACACCTATTGTGATAGTAGTTTCCAAATAAGTATCGATGTTCCCTCTGAAGATGATCCGTAAGGATCAAAATATGTAAGGGTGCTAAGTTTTCAAGTAGTAAAACTTAAATAGCCACACTGGACAGAGTTGTTTTGTCTTTGTAACTGTTAGTGTGATGGGCCAGAATGAAACAAATCAAATTTATATATGCAGCTTTGGGCAAATGAACTCAAAAGAGAAGAGGGCTACAGTGTCACGGGAGGACCTTGCAAGGGCCACGTTGGTTACCATCACCAACAACATAGGCTCCATTGCACGCATGTGTGCAGTCAATGAGAAGATAGAGCGTGTTGTGTTCGTGGGCAACTTCCTGAGGGTCAACTCCATATCCATGAAGCTACTAGCCCATGCAATGGACTATTGGTCAAAGGGAACATTGAAGGCTCTCTTCCTGGAACATGAGGTAAGAAGTTTCCTGCATTTGTGGAACTCAGAAAGCCACCAATTGTATCTTATCCTAACTCAGTAACTCTGTTCAGTGTAGTTCATGTCCTGACATTGTGCATCTCTGAGATTCATTTTAATACCATCTTCCTGTCAGTGCTTAGGTCTTCATAATCTCTTCCTGTCTGCTTATGTAATTAAAATTGTTTATGCATTTCTGGTTCCCATGGGAATGCAACATTTCCTGCCCATTTCATCCTTTATTTGTTCATATGGAAATTACCATGTGAACAGTTCCTTGTCTTGTAATTTTCTGAAGTCTTCTGTTACTTCACCTGTGTTAGACACCCTCAGTTTGGTCTTTCCTCAGAGTCACAGGTGAAGTTCCACATCAGGCTGAGCAGTAAGTATGTAGATATTTTATGTCGGGGGCACACAGTAGCGTAATTGGTTGAAGCACTATGCCACAAGCTGGAAGGTTGCAGGTTCATGTCCTGATGAGGTCATTGAATTTTTTTCAATTGACTTAATCCTTCCAGCCGCACTATGGCCCTGGGGTCGACTCAGCCTCTAACAGAAATGAGTACCAGGAATTAATTAAATAATTTCCCTAGGGAGTAAAGTGTGGCCGGCGCTTAAGGCTGACAACCTTACCACCATCTTTGAGCCGATTGTCTAGATAATGTGGGACCCTCAACGTCTGACAACTCTATGGGCCTTCATGGCCTGTTACAAGGATAGCTTTACTTTTTTTTTTTACTCTTACATATTTTATGTCATTATGTAAGACCAGTTGTGTAATGTAGCCAGTTTTAGTGAATGTTTCCAGCAATAGTGCATAAGGAGGGCACAAAATTTTAATGGTCAACTTATGGGTTACTGGATTAGAGATGGCTCAGTTTCCTGGCCTTCTGATTTATGGACTTTTCACCAGTGAAGGCATGTTAATAAATCCATCAGTGACAAAAGAAGAGATTGAATATGGGTGGTGTCATAACTAGCAGCCATGCTGAAATCTTGTGTTAGCACTGAAACATATGTATGGTTTACAGCAGTATATACTGAATACATATACAATGAAACTTCAATTTTACAATCCTGAATTTTATGTTTTTCCCCCCCCCCCAAATTTACACACTTTTTGCATGGTTCCAGCCAAATACACATAACAGTAATTTTAAATGTAATGGGTTTAATGTTTCCTCAACTTCCCGGTTTTCTGGAATTTGCACTTAATTTTTAGTGTCATGTCTATGAAAACTCATCTGGTGTTATGCTTCGCTTTGTAGTTCAGTTCCCAGAATTTCTTATTTGAGGCAGTGGACTTCCTTCCCTGTTAGCAGTCACAGATGGTTCAAGCTAAAAATACATACTAGCAGTTGGCTGATGCACAGTGATTCATGTGCACCATGTAACATTACTAAGGCCTTTCATACATGAGGGGATTTTTCCACTGCTACAGTCAAAGCACCTTGCCCTGTAGGCTGGCTTTCATGATATTGCGTCTTAATGTAACTGTAACGCAGCTGCAGCAGTCTGTATCATGTCTGATAAGTGATCCAGAAATTACCATCGCAACATAGTAAGTGTGTTTTCATAAATGAAACATTAAACAGAAATGAACCCAGGTTACTTCGTTTCATAGAAACCAGATTTTATTGTTGATTAATGAATTTCACAGCAAGAGGATGAAATATGGATAATATAGGAAAATGGAAATAATTTAAATGAAATGACAAAATAAATATTTTAGAACAAGTTGAGACACATATTGGTACATGTGTTCAACTTGGCATCATGCTGGAGACTTTGTGTGCATGCTAAAACACTACTGTGAAGAACCGTGGAGTTGAAAGAAGTTACATCCAGTGTGAACCTTTCTTCAAGCAGCAGAAATCACTGAAATGTTCACCATTGGAGAAACTGGAATCTGCACTTGCTGCATGGTTCAAGCAAGCCTGTGAGAATAATACTTCCATAGATTGCACCCACCCCAAGAAGAATGCCTTGCACATCGCCTCTTGTCTGGGTATAGCCAACTTTCCAACTTCCAATGGATGAATTGACAGATTCAAGAGGAGATACAGCATTAATTACAGAACTCTAACAGGTGAGAGCAGGGGTGTTTATCCAGAAACTGTAGACTTGAAAAATTACTGACTATTCCAAGACATTGAAGGTTGACATCTGTGATATACAGGGTGTTTCACGACTTTAGGGCATAACTGCAGGAGATTATTTCCTAGGTCTTTGTGATCAAAAAAGTTCAAAAAAACATGTGTCCGATTTGGGATGGTTACAGAGTTACGACTGTTTTAAACTCAGAATTGAAGGTAACGATTACTGACAATAAACAGAACAAAATAATAAACCAGCATAATACATGATACATTTAAAGTATGAATGTAAAGTTAACTTTGTGAAATTACCTTTAATTTGAATTGATTGGTGCTTAAGGCTGATTTTCGAAAATGCCACCACCGGCCGCAATGCAGGCTGCCGCTTGGTGGTGAACCATGCGGGTAGCACGTAGCAGCTTCAGCTGGCTGTTTCTTATGTGGTCAGCGGTGTCCAGAATGCGACCGAGCAAAGCATCTCGCGTTGCCACCTTCACAGTGTAAACCAGTTCCTTCATCCATCCCCACACACAATAATCCAGTGGGCTTAAGTCTGGAGACCTGGCTGGCAATTCTTTGTGTACTTGTGTGGACTGCAGTGTACCATACGAACAATGCCGTCTTCATTGACGCCTTCATTAACACCACGCTCGGCTGCAATACAAACGCCGGGAAGTCTACCAGTATCTCGCAATGCCTGGTAAACTCCAGTAAACACTCTCCGGTTCAGTATTCTATGATTCAGAAACCGTTGCTGATATTCAGCTACGACAAGAAATGAGTTACCGTCACAAAACCCGTACACACAAAATCATATCTGCATACTCCTCAAATGAAAATGTAAATGGCATCATGAACGTAACAGACGCACCAAGATGAGAACTGTTCTGAACACCAGTAGCCGCCACACTAGCCATGGCCGGACATACCAATCCACCATGCCTTAGGTACCTATCAAGTGTCAAGATAACGAGAATGCTCTGGCTATAGCTGGCTAAAAATAGCGACCTGCCAGATGATAGATGCGGTTCACACAAGGGCATGTACAGGAATGAAGAAACGGTCATAACTTCGTAACCGTCCAAAATCGGACACATGTTAATATGAACTTTTTTGACCACAAAGACCTAGGAAATCACCTCCTGCAGTTATGCCTTAAAGTCGTGAAACACCCTGTATACAGTGCTGATGAGACCAGTCTAATTTTCAATCTACAACCCAGCAAAACCTTAACATTCCAAGATTTTTGCCATGGTGGTATAAAATCTAAAACAGTGGGTTGCTGCATTCCTTGCATGCAATGCTGATGTTAGTGACAAACTACCACCTCTCGTAATTGGAAAATATAAAAGTCCATGATGCTTCAAGAATGTCAAGAGACTGCCCACAAAATATGAAGCTAATACAAATTCTTGGATGACCACCACAGTATTTGAAGATTATCTCATACAACTAGGCAGAAAACTTGGTGCTAAAAATTACAAAATCTTGCTTCTCATTGATCACTATGCTGCTCTCCCAAAGAACACATTTCTCAGCAACACTGAAGTTGTATTCCTATATCAGCCAGCTGCAGCCTTTAGATTTGGGAATCCTGCATGCATTAAAATGCTGTTATAAAATGTAACTGATTCAGAAGACTGCAGCCATGACAGATGGGGGACTGCCCCAAGATATTACACAAATGAAGGGATGTGTTGCCTGCAGTGCACTTCATAGCAGAAACCTGGAGATCGGTAACACCCACTACAATAAGGAATTGCTTTGTGAAATGTGGTTCCTAAATTGATCATGTCAGCAGCAATGATGACAGTGCAGTGAAACTCAATGAAGATGATGATGATGACTGGCACAGTTTACAACCTCTCAGAGTGCAGTTTGAGGTCTACACATGTGATGGTGCTCTTGAGGTTTGTGAAATCCGAAATGTCAACCAGGTGTTAGATCAAGGGTTGACTAGACCAAGACAAGAGGAAGTAGCAGGACATAAAGTAACATTCTTGGATGCACTGAGGACTGGAAGCAGCCAGAAAGTACACGAATCACTCAGCCTATCCAGACAAATATTAGGCTAGTACCTTTAAATGGACTAAGACCACTTCCTTAGGCCATGCCATAGCTCAGGCAATTAGTCACTGGCTTCCCACCACGGCTGCCCCGGTCTGGTCAGGTGGGATTTGTGGTGGACAAAGTGGCACTGAGGCGGTTTTCTCCAAGTACTTTGGTTTCCCCTGCCAATCTTCATCATCATAATCATCCGGGGCAGGCTACAATAGGCCAATCAGTGGCCGCCGTGCTGAGCGGACCCAGTTGGACTCCACCCCCCACTCAGCGAATTAAAAGGAAACACAGCTTCCTTCCTCATTCTTTCCATTCCTCAGTTATGACCACCATCTCATCTTACTGATGTTACATAACAGTAGCTGCTTATAAAGCATCATAAAATAAAACAAGAACCATGTTTGCTTCTTCAATTACATTGTTATATTCAAACGTGTATTTTTTAAATGATCCTCCAAAGTAATGGTGTAAAGAAAACCAAATTTTCTTTACATTGTATCAATCTCATTTCCATGATTTTACACTTTCCTCAATTTTACATTTAATTTAGGCAGCCCTTAAAAAGTGTAAAATTAAGGTTTCACTGTAGTGATATTACATTTTTCCATGCCTTGAAACAATTAAGTAATACTGTTATGTTCGCTGTATATTACAATTTAGGAACTTTTTAGAAAGTAGACAAGAATATTTATTCCGAACTGGTAACACAGATTTCCTGTGTCATTTTATGTTTTAATCCTTGTATTATGAAGTATGGAATATTTTCAGGGTTACTTTGGGGCTGTGGGTTGTCTGCTAGAATTCAACAGCCACGTCAGCTGAGTCTGTTACACAACCATTCCTGTGCTGTCACAACATTCAAGTACTGTAGTGGTAGAGCACAGTAAGTCTGTCCGCATGAACTTGTTAGTATTTCAGGGATGTTGCATGGTGTGCACACTCCTCTCATGCTGTGTAGCCATAGTATTTAGCAAACATGGCAGCTGCTGTCAAGTTCATGTGGTCAAATATCTGAAACTAGGGATCACTCATACATGTTATATTTTGATGCCCTGTTTTCTTTTTTACATTATTGTCAAGTTGTTAGTAATACTGCTGTGTATTATACTTGTTAAACAAAAGTTAAAAATACAATTTATAAATATGTTTTTAATTTATTGTTAACTAATTATGGTATGTGACTGAGTATACTGGATTCTTTAAGAAATAAATTAGACATCAATCTATTTTAATACATTTGTTATTGTTAAAAATGTTCCTAATACAACCATTACACTCTCCTTAAATACATGTGCATATTGGCTGCTCAGAAAAATACCCACTGCCATAAGATTACACAATGACAATTGAGATTGTGGTCCTCAGGGTCATAACACTGTGCAGTCTCATAGATGGTTATAAAAATTCTGCTGGAATGTGCTGCCTCCATGTTCGCAGTAGATGTCAGCAAACAAAATGACAGCATATCTTTTCATGTACGTGAATAGGATATATTGCGATGTGCCAGAGATTTGTTAGTTTGATCTATTCTGGAGCTAAGAAGCAGCAGCCCTTTAAAATGTTTGTAAACACCTATGAGACTACATGGTGTCATAACCAAGGAGAGCAATAGTTTTGGGTTAATTATTAGGATGGTTAACATCCCATTTCTCAAAAAGTTTTATCATTTCTGGGCCCATAGTTATTACGGGAACCTGCAACATTAGAATGAATTCTTGTACTCTCCATCAGCCAGCATGTGTGTTCCACTGCTGCTCTCTGGTACAGGAATGTCAAAACAGTTGTAATGCCAGAATGCTATAATGGAATAACTTATGAAGTGGATTAAAGTGATGGAAATATGACAAGTAAGTTGTCAAAGTGTTAAACAAATAGTCTAATATGGAAAGAAAAATGATTGGACAATTGTAGAGAAAAGCGGTTTGTCCAGCATTAATAAACATCAGTAATTTTCATTTCATTCATCCTGTTGTGTTGTTATATACAATTTCTTTATTAGAGTCCATCACAACACAACAATATAAAGGTCAAGGCTAAAATTAGCTTGGTCACATGTTTCAGCTCATAAAGTGATCATCAGGTAAACACATGATTACCATATTCATACACTACTGAACTGCAATTGCGATGGTAAAGCTGGATCGCAATTGCAGTTCAGTAGTGTGTGAATATGGTAGTTATGTGTTTACCTGATGATCGCTTTATGAGCTGAAACATGTGGCCAAGCTAATTTTAGCCTTGACCTTTATATTGTTGTGTTGTGATGAATTTTAATAAAGAAATTGTAAATAAACATCAGATTATCAGGTTTTGCTAGTCATGGTACCTCAAAATTCTGAACTGTAATATACAGTGTGTTATGCAATGTGCTGGCTAAGCTCCAGGAGTGCGTTCGACCAGTCATTTCGTGCAAAAATAAATTTTAACAAACTACATGTCAATTTGACACCATTATTGATGTAAGTGCTAACTTAGTGTAGCATTATTTAAAAATGTCTTTTCAGCTCATTATTTTAAACCCAGGAAAAAAGTTTCAGTTTTATTAAAACACGTTTAAGAGTGTCCACCGTTAGACTGCACGCGTTCTGCCAGTTTTGTCATTGTATGTTGCTGCTGCATTCATTTCTAAGACCAGTGGTGTCATCTATGGCCTCAGCTAACTGATGCCTTGTTTCTGGTTTACCATGTGCACTGTGAACCTCATGCATCCCCACAGAATGAAACTGAATGGTTGTGAGGCCAAGCCGCTGGCCTGCCTTTTCGTATCCATCTTCTCTCATAATCTTTGTTCAGAATTCACTCTGCTGATATGCAGAGATGCTCCATTATGTTGTAGCCACATTCACCTTCATGCTGCAAGAGGCACATCCTCCAAATGCAGCAGTAATTCCTTTCCCAGAAAATTCCTGTAATGTGCACCTGTTAAACTCAGCCCTCCCCCCCCCCCCCCCCNTGCGCGCTTCTAAACCACGCCCCCCCCCCCCCCCCCGCAGAAAAAAAAAACAACGGAGTATGAACGCTTGCAGTACAAGATATCAAGTTGAAAAATCATTTATTACTATTGTGAAGTAAGGGGTCCCGGAAGGGTGATGGAAACGTACCCACAAGCTGATGCTATGATAGCATACCTTTTTATCGATCGTGTTCTCGGCACTGGTGGCGGCCATTTTGTATCATTTGGTATGGAGTTGCGTAGAGATGGCAGCAGTAATGTTTCCTTGACGTTCGTGATGATGTCCCGGAGAGCATGTTACCTGGAATGAAAGGAATATATGGTTGAGTCCGAAGTGGGGGAAGTGGGTGTAGTGTTAAAGGTACTAGGTTGAACTATAAAGAGTAGTTTTCAGTAATTATGTTCGTTATATATAGGTTTATTCTTTGCCTTTTAGGTAAATAGTAGAACGATTCTGCTTTCTGATATTGCATTCCTATTCATTGTTACTGAAGTACGTTTTATTAGAAAAAATGGAAATCAAGGTTAAAAATGAGGTTACAGCAGATAATGAAGCTTCACCTTTACCTAAATCTAAGATGCCCGACTGTTGGAATGATGATATGAGAATGGATTACCTATTTTCACATTTTCGACCCCATACCGTAAACCCCTTAGACTGGGAATCAAAAATGAAATTTTGGACAGCCATTTTGGAGGTATGGTGTGTGGATAATAACAAACCAATATTCACATTATCTAGTCTGAAAAAAGCCTTCCAGCGAAAGGGCAGAACTCCAGTATGTCTGCCGACTGTGATTGAAACCATGCATAGGTAAGAACTCGCAGATTCAACTCCGGTCGTTCTGTTCCTTCTCCATTCTTTTGACTCTAGTGTCATTTTGAGATTTTTGAAGGAATTTCAGACGTTTATTTCCGTGCAAATGATTTTTCATATGTCGTGTTGTTATGTACAGGAACAGGTTGCTAGTTTTTCATGGAGAATTCGTTAGTGTTCCTCCACAGCAGACATGGCATGCATGGACTATTGACCTGCTCATCAAGAAACCTGTTACTTGGATATTTAATAAACTTAAGAACTCTGTTCTTGGCACCAAAGAGGCAGCAGAAGATGTCCCATATGTTCACATTGCAGCTTGCAAGGTTGGTATTATATGTCAGTATTTTACATAGTATTTTAAATGAGGTCATACTCAAAAACATGGTGGTGTACATTCTTGTTCTAAAATTGCTGTTGCTGTAATTCTTACATATTAACACACCAGGTATTCTGTGCCAAATCAACTGCCAAGTCTTTGGCTTCCGAATTTTTTGTCTGAATGAAACTTGATGTAACCAGAGGTTAATGTGACAAGTAAAACTACAGAATATTATGTACATTAGTGATTTTGAAGACAGAGTGCAAAAATTTTTGCAATGTTGACTGTTTTTATGGCAGTTACAAAAGCATTAAATGATAAAAATATTGTATTCTCAGATCTACTGGAGATATCTAAATTAAATTGAAATCATATGGAATTCATGCAAGGAGCTACCAAGTGACGTATAAAACTTAGTTGTAAGTTGAGTTTTTAATGTGTAAAATACAACTGATCAGTTATTGCTGAAACTACATTTTTTATGTAAAGGATAACCAAGTATAATTTGAGTAGATAGCAGCCATTGTTTCCTAGATGTGTGGTGTAAATTTCAACATGTTTTCTTCTTTTTCAATCCACAGCTCATTTATGATTGTTTGACTGCAGTGGTGTACATTTGGTCACATTTAGCATTATTACAGTATGAAACTTGCAAGCATTGCTCCAGCTTATATTTTATTTCCATGTCATGCATGTGAATGTGTTATCTATTTATCCAGTGACCATCTTTTTATACATTTCTGCAGGAATAGTTTAGTTATACACTTTGTTGTCGACTTACGGCTGACTTCCGTTCTGACTGACAGGTCGTAAGTCGATCTGGTCTAATGTCGGCCATATATTTATTAACAGTATATTTTAACCTTTCTAATGTTTTTATCATCTTTATAATTTATTTTTTTAAAACTTTTACATTTTAATCATCTTTTATTTTTCATTTTTTTGTGGTCGTAAGTGCGGCAAGTCATAAGTTGCATAGGTCATAAGTCGACGACCAAGTGTACTCTTCTATACCTTTTCATGGAAGGTGTACTGACATTCTGTCCCTGATGTCTGTGGTTGTATTAAACCCAGTATGGTTTCTTTTTCAACCTAACAGATTTCAACCTTCTGTAGCTAGTGGAAGGATGATGATGGCTCTTCAGACTGCATGAACATGACAAGAGAGTCATTGCTGTTATAGCTTTTTCAATCACAATGGATATCCACCACTTTCCATCATACACTGAACTTGTAATAAGAGGAAATATGACAACACCACAGGTAGGCCAACTACTTATTCACACTTACCCCTCTTCCATTCCATTAGCTCTATTCAGTCAGTTCCAAAAGCTATAATGTGGAAGCTATTCATGTATGCCCAGTTCAAGAGTTTTTCTTTTTCTTTATAACCAATGATGTACACTACTGATCAGAGAGTAGTTATTCTTGAAACTTAAATGAAGTGCAAGGAAAAATTGATCTGCACATACCTTGGTTCAGGCTTGCCCACAAAATCTTACATGTCCAAATTTGTTAAGAAGTTGCATACCACAGGGTCGGTTCCTGATAAAACATGACATTGCAAGAAAACTGCTCACAGATGAGGAGCTTGAAGGCAATTGGGCATGGTTACGGATTAGACCTTGGAAATTTCCAAGACAATTGTCACAAGACAGGTGTGTCTGTAGGTTGTGCTTCTAAGGCAACTAAATTAATAAAGTTTTGTCCATATAGAGTTAGAGTTATGTACAAGCTTAAACCTAGTGATGCTCCACAAAGGGTTCAGTTTTATAACTTGATGCTAAAAAATTTGCACAGTGGACTTATAGACCTCAACTGTTTAACCCACAAAGATACTTTCACTTAAGTTGATATGTAAATTTTCAGAACACACAAATCTGGAGTGATGAAAATCCCCATGCAGTTAACCAGATTCTGCTATATGACATAAAGATTGGAATGTGGTGTGCTGTAAATGCTAGGTGAATCTTTGGTTGAGTGTGAACTTAGACCGATACATTAGGAATATAATGGAACCATTTTTTGAACAGCTGACTGACGATGAAAGACAGTATGACTACTTTCAACAAGACAGTGATAGTGCACATACTGCACAAAATGCAATGCGTGTACTAACAAGAGATGTTCAATGACAGGTTCAGTAGTACAAAATTGTGGCTTCGAAGATCATTGCATGTTATTGTTTGTGACTTTTATTTGTTAAGGTATCTAAAAGGAAAAGTGTACAGGAACACACCTCACACTCTGAAAGCTCTCTGAAATGAATTGACAAACTTAAGAATATTTTGCAGGGATTCCTTCAAAGATGCAAGGCATGTTTAGGGATTGTCGATAAATATTTTGAGCATTTTTGTAACATCTGGTGAGTTTTCTTGTCATTTTATATTTTGGTTTCTTGTGCTACTTGAACAGATGGTTTCAAGCCCACAGATTGAGGACAGGTATATTGGTAGTGGTTCTGAACACAACTTCATGTGTACCTCCTCTGGAACTGACTAGAGCTAGCAGAAGGTACAAGGGGTGAGGCGAAATAAGTAGCCAGCCTATCTGCATCATTACATTGTTGCCTCTTGTTCAGAGTACTGTGTATGTGCAGGCACCGTTACTGTACAGGGTACCATTATTGTATGCAATATGAATAAGTCATGAACACTGCCTTAAGACACCTGTATCAAAGGGTATATTTGAACCAGAAACTAAAAAAAAAAACTCTCATTGTGTTTTGATTTAATGGTACATAGCATTGGTTTCCAGTAGTGTTTGAAAACTGCTCACAATTACTGAAATGTTCCTTTAGCTCTGTTTCATTATGTGATGTCTTTCTGACTCGCATAAAAATACTTTAATTCCGTTAATTTTTTCTTGTGCAAATTCAGAGAAGTCTTTTTAGTGTCAGTATTTGCTTATCATAAGGATGCTGAAAACTTGCTCTGGCTACCTGCCGTTTTGTTGTGCTACCTATAGCATGATTTGGGGCAAAGAAATGTTACTCTGCAGCAATTCCAAAATCATTCTTGTTGTTTACTAGATCGGCAGATTTTTTCTGTGGGATACAAGTTGTACTTCACTCACGATTCAACATTCCATGTCTTCAAAATAGCTGGGTTACTACACATAGTATTGTGCAATGTTGCCTAGGTCATGGTAGCCTGTAACCAGACCAGGTCTCATTAAAATAAAAGATAGGACTGTCGCCACTTATTTGTTGATTTGGCATGGAATGACTCCTGCATATTCAGAGACATGTTTTTGGCTTTGCTGCAGGACCTAGGGAGAAAACTGCTTGCTTCAGTAATTCATAATCGACTTCTAGAACTGAGTGAGTTGGCATCACTGTGTGGCCAAGAAGATTTAATGCAGCTGTACGTGGTTGTGCATGAACTGTGCCGGCAGGGGAAGGCTGCCATTAAAGAGGGCAACAGTTTGCTGGTCAAATTGGGAGATCCACATATTAGCGAGCTAGATATTGGAGTGTACACCTTGGAATGTGATGAACGGACACTCACAAGGCATATAGAAGAATTGGAAACTGAGAAACGGGTAGCTGTGCAAGAGGCCAAGATGTATGTGGCAAAGAATATGCGACAGGCAGTGAGTTCACAATTTATAATAAACAGAACCATCCATATTATATTTAAGCATCCTGTTGCACTCCGTACGATAAATGATATAAACTCCGTCTCAAGTGCAAACAATATATTTTGTGTCTTTGATCTTGCTCCCTACACTACGTGTGTGAAGTAATCTACAGGTGGACAGCTATCAACGAAGTAGAAGTTGATAGTGACAGGGAGAGTGTTTTAGATGTTAAATTTTGAACTGGGTGCAGTGTGACAGCGACGTGAGTGTTATACACCTGATGATGGCCGTCTGAGGCCGAAACATGTAGTGTAGGGAGCAAGATCAAAGACACAAAATATATTGTTTGCACTTGAGACGGAGTTTATATCAAGAACCATCCATTTCAGGCAAGCTGAAACCAAGTTAGGTCCTGAGCTGATTGTGTGCTTAATTTAGTCATGAATGTAATTTTGGTTCCCTGATACTTCAATTCTTGTGAAATGACATTGTCATCAGTGATCTCAAGGTTCCTAATGGTTTGTCTGTCATTAATTGATGCAGTATAATATGTACAAACTACAATCACTACATCTCTGGGCCTACTCACTTCGCCTTTGAAATCATTCTGTCTGCAAAACTATATAAGTTATACAGTTGGCCACAGTGTGATTAAATAAACTTACTTACTTACTTATGGAGCTGAGCCCTTCTTGAGGAGAAGCCAAATCTGCAGCTATTCAAGAATTTTCCCAGCATTTTATGGAACCCAAAGGTTCATTACCGTGTTCACAACAACCCTCCACTGGTCCCTATCCTGAGCCAGATTAATCCAATCCATACCATACCATCCCCTATCTCTAAGATCCATTTTAATATTGTCCACCCATCTACGCCTTGGTCTTCCCAGTGGTCTCTTTCCTTCTGGCGTCCCCACCAATATCATATGTGCATTACTTTTCTCCCCCATTCATGCTACATGCCCTACCCACCTCATCCTCCTTGACTTGATCATTCTAATTACAAGGGTCGTACTGAAAGTCATGAGCAGCAATTCTTTGTAAAGTATCATGCTTTATTATTGACAAACAAAATACACCACCTCAATCTACAGACCTTTCTTTATTTTTCCACATAATCGCCACTTCTTTGTACACATTTCTTCCAGTGTTCTGGGAGTTTGAAAATTCCCCTTCTGTAAAATTCTGTTCCAGCCATCCGAAGACACTGACACACAGCTTTCTGAATTGCCTCATTTGTCTCAAAACGTTGTCCACGCAGCTGATCCTTCACAAATCTGTAAAGATGGTAGTTGGAGGGTGCCTGATCAGGGCTATAGGAGGGCTGTGGAAGAACTTCCCACCCCATCTTTGCAACTGCTTCCAGTGTGAGGCGAGCAGCATGGGGGTGAACGTTGTCATGCAGGATACTCTTTTTTGTCTGCTGTTCCCAGGTTGCATGCAAAAAAGAGTTGCTCATGACTTTCGGTACAACCTACGTATACTTGGAGAAGATTACAAGTCATGGAGCTCCCCTTTATGCAGTTTCCTCCAGCCTCCTGTCACTTCATCACTCTTTGGTCCAAATATTCTCCTCAACACCCTGTTCTCAAACACCCTCAGTCTATGTTCCTCCCTTAATGTCAGAGACCAAGTTTCACACCCATACAGAACCACAGGCAAAGTTATAGTTTTGTATATTCTAATTTTTATGTTTCTGGACAGCAGACGAGTTCTCAGTTCCGGTGGCAATTATGTTGAAAAATAGTTGAACACTTGTTGTATCTGTTGCAATAAATATTTCCATGTGTTTTGTTTCTGTAAACGGGCCCAGGGAAACTTACTTTGTGGACGAGCTTCATAATTTAAGAGTTTGCTTGTTTCTGTGAACGGTTGTGTGAAGCTTGGCACTGCTGCACTGCTACAGGAAGCTTGCCATAAAAGCTTATGGAAACTAACTTACTCTTGGAGTCGATACCTTGTACCTGAGCATTTTCCTGGAAGAACTAAGTAAAGCCATGAATACCTCAGTCTAGGTTAATAATTAAATGAAGCACCTCAGTCTACATAAAGCACTGAATTGACAGAACTAGGCTGATCAGCACACAAAAGTCCAGGAAGTAGTGACCACTAGCAATTTGCATTTCACTACCATTCAATTTAAAGTCATGCCCCGAAGTTGGACAGTGATTTCATTTGCTATTTTCATAGTTGTGAAATATGAAATGCATAAAGTCTTTAGGTGGGGTGATACCTCTTGGAAAGTGGCCTATTTGGTGGAGCTTGAGACCCATTCAAATAAGGTTAAGTGATAAGACTGCATGTTAGAATTGTTGAGCCTAGGTTAACTTTACCAAACGTGTAACAAGGCTAGTCATCTCCAGACTCATACTTATTTCTCCACAATGTGTCACTAAGTGCAAGTCTTGACAGGTTCCATGTGGATATATTTGGCAGGGACAAGTATTGCAGCTGCCATATTATTGTTATTTATGCTGAGAAAATGAACCATGTAAATATGAAGTGATGTTATTACAAAATTTCATGTAAACTGGGGAATTGGTTCAGGAGTTACGGGGGGGAATAAATACATGTACATGTACCTCCAGCTTCTTATAAATCAAGATTGGAAGGGTGCAGTTCATACCTAGATACGCAGAGTTTCCGCATCTTTCTTGCTCCTTGACTTTCTGAATGTTCATAACTGTTCCAGATAGCTTTGATAAGGATATTTGTAGTGTTAAGTACAACTCTTGTTGCAATGGTTACTATGATTACTGAATTTTGGAAGTGTCACTTGTGCTGTTTCCATCTCACAGGTCCATGCATCTCCAGTACTGTTATTGCTGACTATAGGAAATTGAAACGTACAAGCTTGGATTGGTTTTCAGTAGCCTAACATTCATACTAAATTTCATCAGAATCATCTGACAGTTCTCAAATTGAAATGTATGGATGGACAAGCAGGCATGACCTTTCCTACATGCATTATTTTTATGTACGTCATGGCAAGAATGCATAGTAAGGAAAGTAGCCTACAGAAGCATTTTATAGCATATTCAGGAGGTGCCTAGTTTGAATCTTGGCCGGGACACTGGTTATCTGGAATGAGATTTGTCCGTCCAGGAAGTGCTGGTGTAGTACCTTGGTAGTCTACAAGTGCTCCCTTCAAGATCCCATCCATTTCATTACTCACTAGTCACCTTACTATTTGACACCATACAAGGTTTGTCCGGAAAGTAATGCAATTAAGTTCGTAGGGAAAAAAATTATTCAATATATCGTTACAGACGTTTAACATTCTTCGAAGTACTCACCTTGGGCATTGACACACTTTTGCCAACGACCTTTTCATGCACGGTACGCATCCTGGAAGGTGTCTACGGGGACCTCCATTAGAGCCTTTGTCACGGCGGTTTGGATCGGTTCAGTGGTTCCAAAACAGGTTCCTTTCAGGGCCGTCTTGTTCCTCGGGAACAAAAAAGAAGTTTGCGATCACTCGCGATCATCACTCGGTTGTTCTTATGGTCGTCAGTCAACAATTTGGGGACCAACTTGGCACACACTTTCGGCATGTGCAAATTGTCAGTAATGATGTCGTGCACAGTGGTTTTTGGAATACTGAAATTCTCTGCTATCATCCGAACACTCATTCGATGATCGGTATTTAAAAGAACATGAACACGAGACAAATTTTTGTCACTTTTGCTGGTTGATGGCCATCCAGAGCGGGGGTCATCCTTCACCCCTTCCTGGCCATTTTTAAACAATTTCAACCACCTGGAGACTTGAGAATAGGACAGAGCAGAGTCCCCGTAGGCCTCCTGAATCATTTGGTGGGTGTCAGCAAAGCTTTTGTTCAGTTTAGCACAGAACTTGATCATGTAACCTTGTTCGATAGTTTTCTCTATTGCGCGTCGTGGCACAGGCACTGACAGGAAGTTCATTGAAACAGCGATCCTGATGCTCCCAGAGCTCAGAGCAGACTGAGCTTGGAAGCGTTGTGAAGCTAAGAGTCCCCCCCCCCCTGGTCCTAACGCGCTGCGACCAGGAGGAGCGGCGGGAAGAAACAAATTGCATTACTTTTCGGACACACCCTGCATAGTCTGAGATTCTGAGATACTGATAGTGCCATAAAGTAAACAACAAACAAGGACACTTACATTCCAATATATCACAGTTTTAATATTTGAATTACATGTAACACTAAATGGTTATAATTAAATGATTAAAAACATAACTGTATTTAATGTAACATTTCTTGTACTCTTGTGAAACTGCACAAGCATTATGTCTTATCATGCTTAGGCACGGAGCTGCCTTAGGAAGAAGCATGTTCTGGACAGCTGTATTGAGAAGCGAACTTCTGCTCTCAACAACATCCGCCTGTTACTGACCCACATACATGAAGCCAAGTCTGATGCCAAGGTAAGGAAGTATACGTGTACAGTTATTGCATTTTTGTGCATTATTCATCATCCTGTTTATTATTTAAAACAAGATTTCAGAGACTGGATTGTGTCTTTGTCTTCAGGTAAAAGCTTACTTAGTTGGACCTGTTACCTGAAGACAGGCAGTCTAGTTTCTGAAATGTTGTGTTTTAAATAAAAACAGGAAGATGGATAAAGTGCAAAAACTCGATAATTGTATTAATATACCATCATCACAAACTTTAAGAAATGTAGAGGCTGCACTGAGTGATGTTATGAGGTTTTCGGGTGTCTACTGGTTCTGTATTTCAGCATCCCGTTGCAATTGTTCACATTAGTGTCCATTTGTCTATATCCGTCTAAATTGCAACACTTGTTTTACACTTCAATATACTGTTTAACACTTAACACTACATGTTTCGGCCTCAAAGGGCCATCTTCAGGTGTTTTATTACAGATATTCAATCAAGACCTTGTTAAAACTGCTACACTGTTTTGCTGTTCCAATTCATTTTAAAAACCACATGCTGCAGTCCTTTAATTAAAACGAGATAAAATTCTTTTATAATTTGTTGTTTCACTTCACTCAGGGTGTCGTCACTTCCATAAAATATATTAAAATGTTTTCCCCGGCAGCTTGTTCCTCACGTTAGTTATCTGTAATTTAGAAATTCTTGCGCCTGGTTTTCGTTTCATCCTCAACGTGTTGTGTTGTCTTTACTAGTAAAGAGGAGGAAACGAAAACCAGGCACAAGAATTTCTAAATTACAGATAACTAACATGAGGAACAAGCTGCCAGGGAAAACATTTTAATATATTTTACAGAAGTGACGACACCCTGAGTGAAGTGAAACAACAAATTATAAAAGAATTTTATCTTGTTTTAATTAAAGGAGGACTGCAGAATGTGGTTTTTAAACTTAATTGGAACAGCAAAACAGTGTAGCAGTTTTAAAGGGTCTTGATTGAATATCTGTAATAAAACACCTGAAGATGGCCCTTCGAGGCCGAAACATGTAGTGTTAAGTGTTAAAGAATATATTGAAGCGTAAAACAAGTGTTGCAATTTAGATGGATATAGACAAATGGACGCTAATGTCTATTGGTGTTTGGTTGCAGGTTCTAGAGGCATACAAGCTCGGGGTGGCAGCACTCAAATCAACTTTGAAGGGATCAGGGCTGACAGAAGACAGTGTAGCTGATACTATGGTGCAGTTGGAGGAGGTGAGTTGGTACAAACAACAAACCTAGTTTTTATTCAGTTACCTAAGATATTTCCTCTTAGTGGTCAGAGTTCCTGCCCACAGATCCAGAGGTCCCAGGTTCGATTCCAGGCGCTACCAGATTTTCTGAGAAGTAGTGGGTCTGGAACGGGGTCCACTCAGCCTTGTGAAGATAACTGAGGAGCTTCAAGGAAATAGCGGCTCTGGTCTAGAAAACCAAAATTAATGGCCGTGGGGATCCGTTGGACTTACCACATGACACCCTCTCTCCGCAGAAGTTGGTACTAACTTCGCTGACAAACGGCAGTCGCTCGGTCGGTGTAGTTCATTTGCGGACTACAGGCCACAGAGTTTTTGTTTGTTTTTTTTATTTTACCTAAGATATTTGTAATAGCTTCAGAGAGTTCTGGAACAGAAGCAAATTGTGGTCAGTAGGGTGGGACCCATATGTACATGTGGAGTCATGTGTACATCCCAAAGTCGTGAAATTGTTCGGTTGCTGTTATACTAGCATGTGTGATAGGTCCCAAGGGAAGGCTTTGAAGGGGGAAGATGGACTGTTGCTTCAAGCAATGAGCTAACATATTTATCCATCAGTTGGGACACTTGCAAGCGAAACACTGCTGGTGCTTTTGGTAGTGTATGCAAACAAACACTGCACATATTCAGTATATGTGATTGGTATAACAGTTTTGAGGATAGTTGTATATCAGAAGGCAATCCACACAACAGACAGCTTTGTGTGTTCGTAGAACAAGAATAGTGTGAGACGGTGGAGGAGATTATGTGCTCTGATTAGTGACAGATGGTAAAGACAGTTGCAGAGATAGTCCAAATTTCAGTTAGTGTTTGCAATACCATCTTCATTAAGGTTCTGAAGAGGCTTTGTATCTGCTATAAGGTGTATTTGAACACTAAACTGAGGAAAACTTTAAGTGGAGGTATTTTAACACAGAGCTTATTGATTTGGGATCTTAATGTTAAATGAGGGGAAACCTTAAATCTAGGAACTTTGAACGAGGGTTCCATTGTACATGACACCCAGAATATTGATTCAAGAACACCGTAGTGACCACAGAAGGATTGGTGGTTCTTCAGTGCAGCAATAGCAATATAAATATTCTGCAAATGATAATGACAGTGATTCTGAAGGTAAATGAAAATCTTTTGTGTGAAAGTTGCCATTTTCACTGAGAGAGACAATGTTATGGCTGGATTGCCCCAAAAAAGGAAGGTGATGTTAGAAGTATCTGTTAGGTATAGTGGCGTGTGGTACTATTTTAGGTAAGGGAAGCAGTGGTACCTAATAATCGAACTGATAGCAATCAACTCACCAAAATTTACATCACTTATTGAGTCAGTAAGGTCCTTTTGTATTCTGTTAGATAAACCTGTAAATGCCGTACTGTTCTCAAGGTGAACATTGAGTTTATGACCATATTTCCTCAACAAGTGAACTAATTCCACATAATTACCTCGGTTGATAGAATCCACGCTTTCGTCATGACCAGGAAGGCCAAGTTGCCACTTTCCTAAATGGCAGATGATATCAATCAAGCGTTTCATTATTTCTCTATGTAGTATCGTCAGGCGCTTTTGAGTGTCAAGTTGACAGTCAATTTGAGATTTCCCTAACATAACAAGTTGCATTGTTGAAATAATATGAGTCTGAGAGTTCTCGTGTCATTTCAATTCTTTATGAAGTTTGTTGGTATCACCAAACCCAGTCTTGTTCCATACATTTTTTCCTTGAGAAACAATAGGCATGGCCAACAAAACAATTTTCCTATATTACGGCAACCGGATAGCCACTCTGTTTTAGAATACTATTCCAAATTAAATTTGGTTTGTGCTTTAAGTTCTGGCAACTCTCATGTCGGTCATCCTCTTTCTATAATTATTTTCTTTTCAGAAAAGTCCCTGCTATTAAACCTCCATTTTAAAAGGCTTTCGATTGCACAGTCGCAGTCGCGTTGTCTGCCAGCATTCATTTTAGCTTTTGCCTGTGCGTGTAGTCTAATCACACCCCTGCCCGTGTACCGCAGTAAGAGATTTGCTTCCCTTAAACGCAGATAGTTTCTTTCTGATGCGTCAAAATATGATCACAAATACAGTCTTACGCCATCTAAATATACACTTACAATATTTTAATAAAACTTAAGGTTACCTATAACACCCAACAAGACTGAAATCACACATAAACAGTTAATTTTCTCATAACCATTGGAAGAACACAGGCCTTCGCTTCCGTATCACAGGCAGTAGCCCACAAACAGAAAGTTGTTTCCTTGCCCAGTTCATGTGCGACAAACTTTAATGGAGAATAACGATGGAAACTTTGTCCGTCCCACCAAGCAAGGGAAGGGAGAAGGAGGAGGCATGTGGCCTTGGGCAGGAACACGCGCTAAATGACAATATTCAAATCCTTATTATTCAAATTGAATTATTTATATATGACTTGTTTGTCTTTTCGTTTCTTAACTACGGAAGCAATGCTTCCCTTGCTTCCATACACGGCACGCCACTGGTTAGGTAGGGCATCATGCACCATGAATTTGTGTTTGTGGGTTCTACACTCAACAAGTAGAACACAAGGTAATGTTCACCCACCCATGGGAGACATTGCCTGAAATATGAGTAGCCAAATACTGGGTAAGCCTGAATAACAAGGCCATAGTTCATGGGTCACTGCTTCTGCAGCAGCAGTTTCTACCTCTTTCAGTAGATGAAGAACTAGCTGAAGGGCTCTCACATCAAAGATGTAGTGGAGATTCATATGGCTTCAGAGATCATGTTGCAGGTGACCCCTCATGGTGGCTTCCAGAAATGTTTTTACCAGCTGAATGAATGATGTCAGAAATGTGTAGGACACTATTTTAAGGGGCTTCTTAATGCCACCAAATTCAAGATGTGGCACCTGTGCTGGAAATTTTATCTACCACATGAAATAAATCTTATTTATTTTAATACTCTAAATATGAAGTTAAATAAATGTGCATCTATTTTGCCAGGACACATACAGATATGGTATGTAGAAGGGCAAGAACAGATACTTTTCTAAATTTTATGTAGTAACCTGTGTCCACATTATTGTGTGCATCAGAATGCTTGACTGTTAAAAGTACACAACAGAAGAAATGCAATGCAACAGCTGAAATTGACTTCTTAAAGATTATCAGTAGTTGTAGGACTGACCACATTAGAATTCAAACAAAGAAAAATTAAATATGTTTGATGCCCTAAGTATAGATGCACATTGGTTTTAGCATTTGTAGGAAATGGAAAGAAAAAAATTCTAGAGTTCATTAATAGAGACCAAATGCTAGAAGAGAAAATGGGAAGATCATCTGAAATATGGAGGGGTAAATTCTGAACACAACCCTTAGGGTCAAAACTGTCTCCGTCTATGAAGATGATGCAGAAATCCCACTTTTAGTGAATTTCAATTTAGTAAATAACCTGCATTTAGTGTAGAAAGTTAGCAGCCTCCGTAGTCTAGGAGTAACGTTCCCACCTCATGACTCAAGGTACGTGGGTTCAAACCCGGCGGAGGTCGTGGAATTTTTAAGGGCGGAAAAATTCAGGGAACAAGTCCTCCGGGAGGGACTTTAAGCCGTGGGTCCCATGTTGTAGCTTTATGGCACGTAAAAGAACCTCATGTCTCCAAAGGAGGCCACTGAGCTAAATTAAGGACATTTCCCGCCCAACAGTAGTCTCTAACGCCTCTGGTAGATGGGGGAAGCATTGAGATACCTCTGAGCCAGTAGAGGCTGACCTCACTGGCTGAGTAGGGACTGATGGTAAGCACCAATACCAGTAGGGTATAGAGGCTGGTAGAAGATTGTAGGGGGACGCACAATAGATCAAACTGGTCGCGGTGCATGGAAAAACCCACCCCCTCCAATATTAATAATAATAATAATAATAATAGTGTAGAAAGTTTGTTACCTTCTGGAAATCAAGACTGAGGTTCTTATAGTGTTTATTTCGTATTTATTTGATATTATTGATTAAGTGTACATGCCTGTATAGAAACAAAGTCTTCAATTACTTATGTAAAGAAATTATATATTATTGTAATTATATACAGTAAGTCTTTTAAGAAGAAAGTTTCTCAAGTAATTTTACATAATCCTCATTTAGTGAAAACCTCAGTTTATTACAAGAAATACCATTCCACTAGAGATTTGTGAAATAGGGATTTCACTGTGGTGAAGTAAGTTTCAGCTAACCAGTTAATTTACAAAGCTGCAAACTGTTTGTTATTGCACAGCTGTGTGGTTTATATGGGTGTCCTTAGATCTGTATGGTGGAATCACACGAGATTAATTTACTGATTTTTAGAATAATGGCAATGTTTATGGTTAACAGTGTGATTTATGAAATGTGTCTTTAAGATTAGATTTGCTAAGTCATGGACCAGATGATGAGAATAAATATAGGAGTCACACCTAAATATAGATGTCAGAAGCTGTAAGTAAATATGTGATAAGCTTTGCTGTGCTGAGAGCTCTGGAGGAGAGGACAGTGTGTGGTGATCCTTCAAATTCTATGTAAAGTTTAAAATCTGTTGAGTGCTCAGAGAAATTGGTGATAGCTCACTCTGTTGGTCAGAAAACAGAGAATTGAAGCACAAAATGGAAGAACCGACACTAATTTAATTAAACTTGAGGTAACAGAGAGCCTTGAATTGATGATATTAGGCATCTTAACTGTTTCAGGCAGCATGAGGTTTGTCAAATGGCAAACATCATGTATGTAATAAGAGGCAGTAACAGAATGTACAGGTCTATCACTGCTACTACCAAAGTCTACTAGTGTACACAGTCCTGAACCATTTCATTTCACCTCCCACCCACACAGCAAATTTCTTTAAGACACATATAATGCTGTCCTTCCACTTCTCCTCTCTTCCAAGTTGAAAATATCCAAGAGGTTTCTTTTCTTGTTATAAGAAGCAAAAAATACACATATAGCAAAACATAGTTTCTCTAACTTTTGATTAATCTTCTTTGTAGGTGTTGGATGTGCACCATGAGATTCAGACAGCACTGGCACAGCCCATGGAAGCAGAGGATGATCTGGAGGATGAATTAGCTGAACTGCTTACACCTCAGAATACACTGGAAAAACAGCTGAAGGAACTCAATGTTCCTACAGGTGAGCTTCAACCACCAACTGGACCCAAGTTTGGATATGGTTGTGAAGTCCAGGAGTTGCAAGATCAATTGAAATGCTGTCTTAATGTTTGATTGTTTGTTGCATAGACCTACTGGAACCCCTAGACACCGTGCCTGCCAGTCCTTCATGCCTAAAGATGCCAACCATGGAACCAGCACTGTGAATCACCATATCATGTTTTTGTGTACATATAATTAGTATGAAGTTTTGTTACTGTTTTCACCCAGTAAATGATGCTCTAACATGGAAGAGAACCTCTTTCCCAGTTTCCAGACTTATTTCAAGTATGGAGTAAGTAATATATTTTTACAGTTGTTGCAGCTAATTGATTAATTATTTCTGTAATTGTCAATGATATTATTTACTTAACTAATTATTTAAGATATGCAGATTTTCACAGTTGGAGTTTAAGTACATATTTATTAATTATTTGTATATTAATATTATATGTTAAGGTGATAAAATTATAATAATGAGCTTGACTAAGACCACATGACATATGGAAAGAAGAAGAAATGAATACAGAGTTTTAGTTGGAGAATCTCAATAAACAAGAAAACTTATGAGATGTAGTTACTAGGATAATGTTAAAAGTTATCTTGGAGAAGTAGGTTTCAAAAATTGTAAGTATATTGAACTGACTGTGGATAGGATCCAGTTACGGGTTTTAATGATGATGGTGATAAGTCTTTTCTTTTGCACAACACCAGCTGAAAAACTGTCAGCTTGAAGATTTTTATACATCAGGATATGTCTGTCACTGAATAAAGTTTATACAGATTCATTCTTCATAACAGCTAGTTAACCATTTTTTGTTTTTTATGTTTTTATTAACCAACTGACTTAACTGTTTAATTGGCTGCTTAATCAATTGATCAGTTTTAAATGTATATCTGCAGATAGGCACGGTTTTTGCATTGATTTAACATTAAACACTGATCTGCATAAAGGTGCTCAAATATGATGATTTTTAATTAGCTTTTGTTCGAATGCTACATATGCAGTTTTACAGTGTGCTCAGTCATTTTGGAAGTTTATTTCTTGGCTTTATTTTTATAGAAAAACATCGTTACTTCTCCTATAAGAAGTGTCTACTGTGATTTAATGTGTATATCCTGAAAACAGACCAGATATGAAAGTATGAATTAATAGTTCAGTAACAGTTTTGGAAAGTGGTAGTGGAGATAGTGCTAGCACCCATAACAGAGGATAGTCTGCTGGCCATGGCTTGCCAACATGAAAGCAAATAGAAAAATTAAGTAATGGATAGGATTGGACATAGCTGAAAGATACACAACATCATGGAGACCCAATAGGTTGTAGTAGAACAACAGAATTTGTCTAATTTGATAGAAAAAACTAAAACTGAAGGAAGCAATGGGAGGTGTAAATTTCTACCCTGTGGGAAAAATGTAAAATGTGCTTTGTAAAATAAGGAATATGTATCATCATGGAAGGTGCTGCCTAGAAAGATGCTTCCCCTTGGAATGTTCACTCTTCACAATTTTCACGAGGGTATGTTTCCGCATATCACCTGAGAGTTGCCCTGTGGGATCCACATGAGGCTTGCGTGGGGTGGGATTGAATGGGCACAGTCGCACTAAGTCTGTGTCTGACTCTGGTTCTGTCGCCACCATCTGGTCTGTAGCCCAGGGCTTTGCCACATTCATCAGAAATGCTTTGTATTTCAATTTCGAATCAGGGTTTAGATTTTTGTGATTTTTTAAATTTTTTACTGTCTCCACAATGTTATTACCTCCATTATCGTCGGAGCTACGGTCACTTTTACTGTCTGTGGCCACAATTCTTTGCTCTCCCCTGTCACTGCTGCTCTCTGAAACACCATAACTACGCATCTCACAAGGCAGGTCAGCTGGCTCATCGGAAAAGAATTTGTCCTTGTCCATAACCCAACACTAACTACTGGCTGATACATACAGCTTGAAGAGCAACAAAGCATTATCACTTATAGTGGCTTAAGAAAACAGCAAGATCAAGTTACTGACAAGAGAATATTCCAGAGTTTTATTACGCCATTGCGTGCAACTTGGGTGGTGCCAGAGAGATGTATAGTGTGTTGCAACTTATCATGTTTTAAAAACCTGTTAACAGGCGAACGGTCTGCCATGTTTAAAAGGGAAAAACCTTTTAAAGGGTGCGCGGTCCACAAAGTGTTAAGATCAAGTGAAATGTGAGGATGACAGTAAATATTGAACCAGAAAGGAAGGTATTTAGAACTCACAGCTCCTTTAAGAGAACTAACTTAGCTTTCATCGGGGGAAGGACAGAAAAATCTTGAGAGGCTTCAGTCAAGAATGCAGAATGCAAGTCAGATGCTTTATTGCAGACCCAGCCTGCTGAATGAGTATGTTGGATATTAGTTTCCAGCTAGTGTTCTGTGCAGCTGTGTTATAAATAACCAACTACATGAAGCTGAGTTCATCTTGAGAAGCTGGACACTGAGGTGTATGTTAATAAAGCTTGGGGAAACTATTAAAGAGAATATAAAAATTTCCCCCAAGGAGAGTCTAGGTTATTATGAATTGAAGAAGCATCAGCCATGGTTCAATGAAGGATGCTCAAAATTACTAGACCAAAGAAAGCAGGCCAAATTGCAATGGTTACAGGATCCAAGGGAGTTACGAGTAAATGGGGATAATCTGAACAATATAAGACACACAACCAGCAGGAATTTCAGGAACAAAAATAGTGAATATCTGAAAGACAAATTTGATGAGGTTGCAATGGACAGTAAGAACAAGAACATTAGAGACCTGTATAGAGGAATAAATGACTTTAAGAGGGGTTACCAACCTAGAAGTAACTTAGTGAAAGATGAGAATGGTGATCTGCTTGCTGATTCCCACAACATTTTGAACAGGTGGAAGAACTACTTCTCTCACTTATTTAATGTACATAGGGCCAGTGCTGTTAGGCAGACAGAAATCCATACAGCTGAGCCATTAATACCTGAACCTAGCCCTTTTGAGGTTGAAAGTGCTATTGCAAAATTGAAACAGTATAAGTCACCAGTTAGTTATCAAATTCTGGCAGAACTTATTCAAACAGGAGGCAAAATATTACGTTCTAAGATCCACAATCTAATTACTTCTATTTGGCATAAGGAAAAATTGCCTGATCAGTGGAAGGAGTCTATTATTGTACTAGTTCACAAGAAGGGTGATAAATCTGACTGTAGTAATTATCGGGGGATATCACTGCTATCAACTTCATATAAAATTTTGTTCAATATTCTTCTCTCAAGGTTAAGTCCATATATAGATGAAATTTTTGGGGATCATCAGTGTGGGTTTCAGCGTAACAGATCAACTACAGATCAGATCTTTTGCATTTGTCAGATATTGGAAAAAAAATGGGAGTACAATGAGACAGTACATCAGCTATTTGTAGACTTCAAGAAAGCCTATGATTCTGTTAAGAGGGAAGTATTGTACAATATTCTGATAAGATTAAAATGTGTTTAAATAAAACTTATAGTAAAGTCCATATAGGCAAACATTTGTCTGATAAATTTTCTATCCAAAATGGTCTAAGACAAGGAGATGCATTATCATCACTCCTTTTTAACTTTGCTTTAGAATATGCCATTAGGAAGGTCCAGGAAAACCAGGTGGCACTGAAATTAAACGGGACACATCAGCTGTTGGTCTATGATGATGGTGTGAATCTACTGGGTCATAATATAGATACCTTGAAGAAAAACACACAAACTTTAATTGAAGCAAGTAATGAGGTTGGTCTAGATGTAAAGACAGAGAAAACTAAGTACATGTTGCTGTCTTGTCATGCAAAATCATGGCACAACTACAGAAAACAGATCTTTTGAAAATGTGGCACAGTTAAGATATTTGGAAACAACAATAACAGATCGAAACCTGTTTCAGGAGAAAATTAAGAGGAGATTGGACTCAGGTAATGCTTGCTACCATTCAGTCCAGAAACTTTTGTCTTCTCGTCTGCTGTCCAAAAAATAAAAATTGCAATATGCAAAACCATAATTTACCTGTGGTTCTGTATGGGTGTGAAACTTGGTCTCTGACATTCAGGGAGGAACACAGACTGAGGGTGTTTGAGAACAGGGTGTTGAGGAGAAGTTATGAAGCTGCTCATTATGTAGTTTTCTCCAATGAGGAGCTTTATAACTTGTACTGAGGAGCTTCATAACTTGTACTCTTCTCTAAGTATAATTAGAATGAACAAGTCAAGGAGGATGACGCGGGCAGGGCATGTAGCATGAATGGGGGAGAATAGAAAAACATGTACAAATAACACAAGTATAGTTTGTAGTAAAATTCCATGGTGGAACAATACAGGTGATTAATGTAAGTTAATTGCATGTAAGTAGAATTAAATTATTAAATTAGCAAAACAGGCAGAAAAATGACATGGAAAGGGTTATCCGCTCTTAACCTGTGCTGCAGTTTCTGCTCACAGCCTTCTCTAATCAAATATATATCTCAATAAGAGGTATGAATTTAATTTCAAACATTTTCAAATTGTTTATATATTTAATGAAATACAAGAAAAAAATCAGTTTATGAGTCAACAAAGAGTAGAGGTTCTAATGAACCATAGTCACCTGACCACTTCAGTGAAGGTCACCAATGCCAAGTTTCATCCAGATCTGTTGTAAGATTTCAGAGTTCATTCATGAATATGAACAAGTAGACACTTTCGTTTTTACAAATAGCACATACAACACTGAAGAGGGACAGTTATCACATGTCTTGTAAGATATCGGAGAAACAAATACAAAAAAGCCAAAGCACCGATTGTCACAGATATAGTTCCTAATGTTAAGCCTCATGTTGTTAGAAGCAAACTGATTTGTCACTGCTTGATTGGAAATTCTGAGAATTAATTTATGCAATAGCAAGGAAATTTCACATTAGGTACACATGAAACAGAAAGCAGTGTTACTTTCTATGCTCATTATGTGCACTACAAGCTAGTCTCCATGTTTACACGCACCACTACACCGCTGGAGCGTCGCCTCTCCCTGCTGCATCGGAACATATCTTCACCACGGTCTGTGAGTGACCGTCGAAGTCGTGTGAGGACAGGTAGGCGCAGTGCCTCTTCATATTCTGGTGGTGGAAAGGGATCAGCTGGCACATGATCTGCCAATAGTCCAGGGTAGAACAGAAGTTGTGAGGCACTTGCCGTCACTGTGTTATTGTTGTCTGGGACTGCATCCATCAGCACAGCCTCTGAATAGCTGGGCACAAGTGCCTGGCTCCACTCTGAGCTATCCATGGTACTGCCTGTTGACATCTGCACCACTGTGCTGCTGGGAGTTGCATAGTTCACTCCAAATAGCTTTGTTACCTGCAACAACAGTATCATTGTGCAGTGTGACTTATGTGACAATGGGGCTTCTTTTAGTAATGGTATGTTTGTTTTCAGACTCTGTAGTTTTGGTGTGAGGATTTGTTGGGATGAGTGAGTCCCAAAGTGACCTGTTTGACCAAAATACAGCTCCCAGCAGAGGTAGGAAATTTCCTCTTCACCATTTTGTCCATGTGTGCAAATGGCTGTGGGACCAATCCTGTCTGTCAGATAGGTACAAAAGCCCTTTTCCTCTGTGATAAAATGGTCAATGCTCCAGTCTGGCTAATATTATGCCACTACTATTAAAACTGGAGAAATATAAAAAAAAATCTCTGTTGAATAATAGCTGTAATGTTTTGCTTGAATACATAGTCCATTTAATACTGCTGTCATGTAATAGCATTTCAATGCTGACTTCTGTACCATGATTTGCCATTGATATGTGCCTTCATGGCATAGATCTTATGTACAGGAAGGGTGGCTATGAATAGTGTCAAAAACATTTCTTGTCACCTTGTGGCTTCCTTTCAGTTTTTTTTCTGCAAGAAAAAATTATATAACTCCATAGAAGCATGTTTGGTGAATAATTTATTATGCCTACTTTCCTTCAGGAGTTTAACAGAAATTATAAATAACATTTTTGAAACTGAATGATGTTTAAATGTCATGATTATGTGGTGGAGGTTTAAATTATACCACTATTCACCAGTAGTAGTAGTAGTAGTAATTCAATTCATGTTTATTTATGTACAAACTTAACAGCACAGAGGCCAATTACAAGGTTAGTATGAGTACACAGAAATACACAAAAATAATTAAAAAAAACAAAATACAAAATTTGAGAGTAGAGAATGGCAATAAATTAATAATAATTCCAAGTAAAATTGAAGTTAACATTAACAGGAGAGAAAAATGAAATAAGACCAATATACTTACATACACACATGTAATATTAAGAGTATTAACAAATATTATTAACAATTTTAGGTTCAGTGTCATTGACAGAAACTGTTTCGATTGCAAATAAGTCGAGATCTTTACCCACCATGTTGGCAGCATAGGCGCACCGAGCAGAAGGGCAGTGTTTATTAGAGGGACAAACCCCAAACAATGAGAAGTCCCTAAGATTGCTGGGAGGAACATGAAGGCTAACAACATTTTCCAAAAGAAAAATGCAGGATTTAAGACCACGAAAGACATGAACAAGAAAAAGTGCGTCAAGGTGATGTCTCTGTTTATGTAAAGATTGTAGACTTAATTTCTCTAAAGCATCTGTATAAGTATATGGATTATAAGGGAAAAAACGATAAAAGCAAATGGATGTAAACTTTTGCTGGATGTGCTCAAGCTTATTGGCATCAGTTGAGGTGATGGAGTTCCAAACTAGCAAGGCATATTCCAACTTGGACCTGTCTAAAGTAAAGTATAGTACATACAGACACTCCATGGAGGAAAACCTATAAGTAATGGAGCGAATGAGGCCTAAAAGCTTTATGCATTCAGAAATGTGTGATTAACATGTGTGTGAAAATGTAGCTTTGCATCAAAGAAAACACCCAGGTCCTTATTACTGCTGGTGCGTGTAATGATAGCATGACAAAGCTGATACTCATAGCTCGGAAAATTTGTTTTTCTGGTATATGACACTACACATGTTTTAGCAATATTAAGTCTCATGGAGTTAGCAGTGCACCAGTTACTTATGGAATTAATGTCCGATTGAAGTAAGGGGCAATCATGAGGTGAGTTAATGATGTGGAAAATTTTGAGATAATCGGCAAAAATTAAAAGTTTACAGTAGTTAACAGGGTTGCATAGGTCATTTATGAATATGTTGAAAAAAAAAAGGCTCCAGAAGAGAGCCTTGTGGTACATCAGACGTTACATGAAAAGGCAGGGAGAGAGTGCCATAAACATGAACCCGAGATTGTGTGTTTGTTAAGTAACTGCGAAACCAGCTGACATAAGCATCAGAGAATCCAAAGGAGCTTAATTTATGCAAGAGCATATTGTGAGGGACGAGGTCGAAAGCATTTCAAGGATCAAAATAGACGGCATCAGCTTGATGCTGACCACGGATAGCAGGAGTCAAAAGTCGAGAATCGTCACCAAATTGGTAATAATAATAATAATAATAATAATAATAATTCATTTCTTATTTATTTACATGCTAACTTAACAGCCCAAGGGCCAATTACAAACTGAGCACAAGTAAAGGAAAAGAAACAAAAAAAAAAGGAAATTTATATAATTTGAATAATAATAACAATAATTCCATTAAAAGCTATCATTATGAAGTGAAACAAGTAAAATTATACATTTCAGTGAATACAATTAGTGTTTTAATAACTGGAAGAACCATAGCTAATATAAAATATGCCAGTAAGAAATAATAACTCTGTGGCTTTGTGAATATTCTTTGTGATTTTTCTCGATCTCAAATGCAGATGTACCCTCAATCAGCCATGACAAACTCAAACGTCTTTACCCACAGTAACGATCATCTCATACAATTAAAGAGAGACAGGAGAGATGGACAGGCTTTGAAAATATTGAAACACAACACATCAAGAAACCTGTCTAAGACACTAAAGGAATGCAGTTTGGCAACCACATGGAGTAAATATTTACTTTTCAATTTAACATACCATTGTAGTTTTTGTACATTAAATATGTAATGGCTGAAAGTTGTAAACATAACTGCAAGTTCAGTATGAACACTCTCCAGTTCACTTTAATGAACTATGAGGATCATAATATGAATAACAATATTGATCAAACTTTACCGACTAACTTTGAGTGTATCAAATTTTTAGGCCTAAATATTGATAATAGGCTGTGTTGGAAGAATCATATTGATTACCTTGTTACTAAATTGAGTTCGTCTTGCTTTATCATGAGAACAGTTAAGCCTATGATATCATTAAATAGCTTAAGAATGATTTATTTTGCTTATATACATTCTGTGATGACATATGGAATTATCTTCTGGGGCAATTCTTCATACATGACAAGACTTTTTATGATCCAAAAGAAAATTATAAGGATTATGATGGGATTAAAGAAAAGAGATTCATGTAGAGACTCTTTCAAGGAAATGAAAATTCTGCCTTTGTGTTCGCAATACATATATTCCTTAATGCAACACACTATAAATAACATGCATTTGTTTACAAGAAATACGGAGGTTCATAATATTGGTACCAGACAGAATGTTAACCTATTTCCCCCGAGTACTTCTCTTACTAAAGTTCAAAAGGGTGCATATTATTTTGGTATAAAAATCTTCAATCATCTGCCTAAAGAACTGAAACAATTATCTAATAATGTTATATTTTAGCGTCCTGTTGCACTGATTTAAGTTCATGATTTGTTTATTCCGTCTTGCAGTGCATACACTTATCTATCTTCTTCTTTCACTTTCACTACATGTTTCGGCATAAGAATGCCATCTTCAGGTGCTACTCAATTCACGTCAAACTAGTACATTGTATGCCTTGTCTTCACTTTAAAATAACTAAAATATATGTCCATCATATATATTGACAAATGTCAATCGTAAAAATATTAAAACTGTTCAGGGTTCCCGATCGCTACGTCGTATCTTATTACGCCAGTCCTGTTCATCCTACTCTGTTGGAGCTCTTCTTCCCTATCGTGTATATTGTGTTTCTGTTGCGTCTTGTTCTCGCGATTGCGTGCGTTATGCTGTTGGGTCTGCTGGGTATGTGTCGGCATTCTTATGCCGAAACATGTAGTGAAAGTGAAAGAAGAAGATAGATAAGTGTATGCACTGCAAGACGGAATAAACAAATCATGAAATTATCTAATAACCAGAAATCCTTTGAATGTGCCCTAAAAAGATTTTTACATGCTAACTCTTTTTATGCATTAAATGAGTATTTTAATTACAAATGTACATAAATTTGAATGCTTAATGTCACATTTTAATATAGTTAGTATGGGAGATGTGAGGGGTTGTATTGTGGTTACTAGTGACTTATGTCTGTTAATCAGGATATTATCTTTTTGCCTCGTATTGTTGTATGTGTTCGACAGTTAATGTGGGTGATCTTGGTTGTGTGGTTTGTGTTACTTTATGTATGTGTTTGATGACCATTTCCGAATCCTGGGTCTGTTCCCTGTATAGATGTTTATGGAAAGTGGAGGATGTGTATGTATGTATATGACGAGTCCTGTATCAATGTTTTTTTATTTATGGGAAAATGAAATAAAGAAAGTATTTAATTATTTGGGTAATCTGAGTGAAATTGTATTAATTCTAAGTTTTTATAGTAATGCACTTTTTAAATTATGTTTAGTAATTACAATTGTAATAAGCTTCTTGTTTTTGTTTTTTTTTCTATTGCCTATTTTACTTGACTAGTGTCTGTATTATTATTATTGTTATTATTTTAGTTGTGTGACTTATGTAATTTATTACATGTATACGTCTATTATCAAAGGGACTATTTCCACATCTTAGGTTTTTTGCCTGGACAGATATATGGAAAATAAAGGAAATGAATGAATGAATGAAAAAGATTGTGTATGTAAAAGTACCAGCATTAAGACTGAAAATGACTGAAGTTACATCTACAAAGAAACAGATCAGAGTCCTTGTCAGAATGCACAGTTATTTAGTTATAAAGATTAAACCAGCATGGAATTAGAACAGTATTGAGTTACCTGATAATGAACATATCCAGTATTGTATTCCAGGATGATTCTAATTGGCCAGGAGAGCAAAAGGCAACTGCAGATCCAAAATACTGCACGGTTTGAATACCATGGCAGATTTGCATATACTATGACATGCTCTTTGAAATTTGAGACACCCATGAGATCCAGTCCTTCCCGCATTTCCATGTAGTCATCATAGCGCTCATGTTCTGTGAAGAAGCGTGCTCGCTGGTCTTCAAATTCAGCAGCAGCCTCCACATTGGCAAAGGCAAATCCTGGGAGCAATTACAACTATAAATACTTGTACCATGCCTCTCAGATAGAGACTAAGTACTCAACTCTCAGATTAGAAGGGAGATTGTACTAGCATTCAATTCTCATGTGCTAGCCCTCAACTTTCAGATACTCGATCCTCAGAGGGAGGACAGGAGGCTAACCCAGCGCTTGGTTTTTCAGAGGGAATATTGTGCCAGTACTCAGCCTTCAGAGAGGATGGTATGAGTGCATTCAGACATCAGAAGGAATACTGAGCCAGTACTTACTCCTCAGAGGAGATACTGCCCTGGCACTCAGAACTTCAGTGGGTTACTGTTACATCATGCACTTACCAGAAGGAATACTGTGCTGGCACTAATCCTCAGAGAGGAAAACTACCTACACTCAACCTTCAGTAGGGGGCCTTTAGGCCAGCCCTCACCCCCACAGAATGTAGACTATGCAAACATCTACCCACGCAAACTAAAATCGGTGCCCTCACAATAGGGTATCTGCCAAAACTTACCCTTGCTAAAGCGTATTTTAGTGATGGCTCCACCTTCCAATGAGAGGTCACGTGAGATGTCTCGCATACCACAGTAAGTGTACAGAAAGCAGGAGCCTGCAGCATGCGAGTTCACACGCTCATAGTACACCTGTGTGGTTGTGTATGAGTCACCTCCATGCCGTGTACGCACAACCTGACGCTTCCGTCGCACATAGTGATAACACAGTGCTTTCCACCAGACAATGGGCTGAGCCTCACGCATAAGCCTAACTGTTTCCATGATGCTTGTAACATGCACCTTGGTGTTGAGCTCCTCACGTGCTGTGCAGTGCCAACACTCCACCAGGTACACTAGATACAGCATAAGCATGAATGCCACTGGGATGTAAATATACCCCTTGTCACATGGTGACATTTGCACCTTGCTGGTGATTGGATAGCCTGAGAAGTTGATGATCACCTGCACAGAACAGTATAGTACTTTAAATGCTAAATTATGCTTCACTCTTAACTATACCTAAAGAACCTGACAACCTGAAGGTTTTCTCTTTTCCTGTGTGACCCAATGTAAAGTACATACTATATAAAGTATATACTATGAAACAGGCCTAAATATATTAACTCACCAACAGCAGTCCATGTTCATTATAGTCTTTGTCTTGATCCCTGAAGGACAAGGTTGCACTTTCTGCCCAAACAATAGCAATTTTTACCATGAAAAATACTGTCTTCTGGGATATAATGCCATGTAGTCCGTTGAAAGTAACCTGATGTTTCTGCTTTCACCCTGGTATCTTTGCTTGGCTTATTTGACTCTGAAGACAGAGATTATATGTTCAACTAAAACTGACTTTCAGTGGACTATACAGCATTATATCCTAGACAGTAATACTCTTCATAACCAATGCTGTGAGAACCTCAAATCCTACAGTTTACTAATTTCACATGAATCTTTGCCCATAAATCTCAAAATTCAGTAAATAATTTTATGCTGTAGAACTGTTATTTTACACTAAAAATTGTTGTTTTACAGTGCAGTCAGTAGCTAGACTGTATATCATCATATGGTAGGATGATAGATGAATGATGAATTTAAAGGATATGGAAGGAAGGAGTCATGGCGTAATCAAGACACTATCCAAGCATTTTGTCAGAAAGGACTAAAGAAAACCTCAACCACTTAACTGAGATCGACAGTATCCAAACCAGGATTCAAAGTCCTGAGTTGAGAGTGTTACAGCTAACAGTTCATGCTGCAGATGATAGTCATCACATTGTAGACACTTCATCAGTTTTCAAATATCATTTGAATTGTGTCATGTATCCTGTGCAGCACACGTTTGATGTTTAATGTTATGTCCTGTAGATTTCTTGGTCAGGTACCACTATATGTATGGGATCTGAAGATTGCAGAGGATATGGGAATTTCGTTCCTTTTGAAATGAGGCACCCTCAGAAAGCATGCTGCAACATGTTCTTGTGGCATTACATACAAATGGAAAAAAAGAAAAAAATGTTCCTGTAAGAATCTCTTCATTGCATTTTTATGCCTAATTAAGCCAACAAAGGGCAGGAGAAACTAACATATCTGACATATGATGAAGCACATACACTGTGCATGTGCACCCACAGAGATGCTGTTATATTTAGAGCTACTTTGCGGTGTCCAGAAGTGACTGGTCAAGTAGATGATATGCTGCTATTGATCTTTCATATGTGAGAGTTCTCGTAATAGAGATTTACATTCCAGCTTTGTGTATGTTGGAAGAACCTCCCCTAATACTATGATTTAATGAGAGCAGGATGGGCCTTTAGATATGTGATTTTAATACTAACTTGCTTTAAGACTGGTAACAGTATTAAAATCAGTGGAACTCGGGGAAATTCTGTAAATAACCCAGTTTGGAAATCAGTGGCACAGAAGAACTGAATTGTCAGGAAGGACACAATATGCAGCAGTCGGACTCTCTGGTATTCAAAACCAGTGTGTCTACACTATTTACAAAATGTCTGAGGTTTTGGACTTTTGTTGTACCAACATAATAGTCTAAATGTAAAATTATTCTTAAAATAAGTGGTATTTGTGTACAGGAATATTAAATACTTATGAAACCAAGTATAACAGAATGAGGATTCATTATTTCACTTTTTATTGTCCACTTCTGGGCCAAAGATAACAAGCAGAGGTCAGATATGGTCCATGGGCTACTTAATAAAATAGCTCTGTGGTGTGGCATATAGAGATTCACCAAAGTAGCTTAGCACAGACCCACAGTATCCTCTCAGAGAGAAGAATTACACAAATAAGCAGGCTGATTAACAGTCCATGTGTACCTGGCTGAAGTCCCACATATTCTGACTCAAGTTTATTGCCACTTGTAAATTCCTCCAGACATGTGCCAGAATTGTACCTGAAAATAGGCCACAACCACTTTCTCCCTCCCTCCTTATTCATCATTCAGGATCTTCATACCACTGCTTGTCTCATGTAACATTATATATATTCACTAGGTTCCATAATATAACCAGTTATGACTTTTCTAACTGTACATACTGGCGGACAGACTGACGAACATAGGGATGGATGTGCTGTGCTGACCTTGCTGACCTCAGTAAGCCGGCACCAAGTGACAGCACCAAGACAGCCATATATCAGCAGAGAGAGAATCAGGCATTTCCAGTTTGAGTCTTGCAGTACTGCACCACACACCGTCTGCTGCACTGGCCGCTAGAGGGAAAAAATATCAACATAAATCCATAATTAAAACTATGGAAATAGCAAATGAACAACCTACATTATGTGTGGTCTTCCTTGGCTAGATGATTAATTCTTAGCTGGTCAAGAAATTCTCTTCTAATGTGGAACCCTTAAAATGTAATCGTATTCATAAAAAGATATGGTAATGGATTTGCTCAAAGCGTTGCTAGGTAACAGACTGGTAAACACATAACACAGCAACAAATGCACAATAAGAGGGTGCCCATTGCTAGGCAATGAAGAGCTAAGTAGTTGGCCATCTGTAGTGAGTGATAATTTTGTTCAGAATGCTGACCAAAAAATTTGTGAAAGATGGTGCTTCACAGTTTCAGAACTTTCATATGAATTTCCTCAAATTTCACACTGTTCTCTATGAGATTATAACAGGCTAGGCTATCACAAGTTTATGCACAAGATGTGTTCCAAAAATGCTGATAGGTGCGCACAAAACGCAGAGTTTATGAATGTTGAAATCAAAGAGCAGTCAAGGCAGTGGACGCACAAATATTCACCAAACAAGGTGAAAAAGTTTAAACAAATGTCTGCCAGCAAGCTGGGGTATTCCGATCATCTTGCACAGATACTACATATAAAGGTAAATAAGCCTAAAACAGGATGGAAAAAAATAACAAGAAGACAGTTTTCAGGTAGGAATATAGAAGAATAAATGATACAAACTCCGTCCCAAGTGCAAACAATATATATTATATTTCTTTGATCTTGTTCCTTCCTTCTTGTTCAAAGAAATATAATACATACTAGAGAAACTGGTGTATAACAGGTTGATTTCCTTTGTAACAAAATATGCAATATTAACAGAAGTGCAAAATGGATTTAGAAAAAACAAATCGACAGAAACAGCTTCCCAGACCTTCATTGAGAGTATACATGAGGCAATGGATAGACGGTTTCCTGTTATAGGAATATTTTTTGACTTGACAAAAGCATATGATGTGATAAACCACAGTATACTACTAGATAAATTAAACTATTATGGGATTAGGGGGGTCACTAATTTATGGTTTAAATCTTACTTATCCCACCGAGTACAATTTGTTGAAACAAATTACCTGAATAAAAAGACCCAAAATAAATATATATCACCTTTAAGGGAAACAATACATGGGGTACCACAGGGGTCAATTCTGGGACCACTACTGTTTCTTCTGTATATAAATGATCTCCCGCTAAATGTACAAGGTGGAGAAATGGTACTGTTTGCAGACGATATTAATGTGCTTGTTATTGATAAAGAGGAAGGCATAGCGCAACAGAAAATAAATAAGATCATGAAACAGCTTGAAACATGGTTTCAGGTAAATAACCTCTTAATAAATATTAAAAAAACAGTTGCTATGTCATTCCATCTTAGTAAAAGTAGGTCTGTAGTTAGACCACGGATATTTTATAACAACTTGGAAATTGCTTACTCACCAGAACTGAGATTTTTAGGTATAGATATTACAGAAAACCTTAAATGGAGTACCCACATCCAGTCATTATGTTCAAAACTTAGTAAAACATCCTACATAATTAAATCACTAAGAGGAGTTTTGAGTCCAAATATGTTAAGAAGCATTTATTTTGCAAAGTTTCAATCATTATTGAGATATGGCATAATATTTTGGGGGTGTGAAGGTGATAGTATAAAGGTATTTAGAATGCAGAAGAGGGTGCTGCGAATAATTAGTGGACTTGGTAAACGAGACTCATGCAGGCAAATTTTTAAAGATTATGGCATCCTTACGGTTACTTCGTTGTATATCTTAGAGGTGTTGTGTTACATAAAAAAGCACAAAGCAGATTTGATCCAGAATATAAATATTCATAGTTATAATACAAGAATAAACAAGGATTTTCATGTTCAGTTCTGTAGAACTACATTATTTAAAAAGAGTGTGGTAAATATGGGGATAGAATTGCATAGTAAGTTGCCTGACAAAATAAAAAACTCAGTGGGTTTTTCAGTTTTTAAAAGAGACTTAAAATCCTTTTTATTGAAACATTCCTTTTACACGATAAATGAATTCGTTAGTTTTAAATAAAAAGATGGATGGTGAAAGTACTCATATTTGGATGTCATAGCAAATCATAAGTTGTATACAATGATTTGTGTATTTTTTTTTCTTTTTTCTTTTTCAAATGTAGTATCTACATATTGCTTAGGATTGTAAAATGTTGTTATTATCCTTGTAACTTTGTAGGTTTGTTTGTTGAGTTGTACTCCTGGATAAATCAATCAATTAATCAATCAATATAATTCATAGTATGCTTGTAACTATGTAGATTTATTTTGTTAGCTTATATTACTGAATGACATGTCCAAATGTTACTATGTAGCAAATCAGATGAAAATAAAATACAATACAATACAATACAACTGTTATCTGGGACAGGAAATGAGTGATTACAGTGGAATTCATGCAACAAGGGACCACAGTAATGTCAGGAGTGTATTGTAAAATACTGAGAAAACTGCATAGGGCCATTCAAAACAAAACTACACAAATAATGAAACTAAGTATCTGCAAATGTCCAATCACCAGAATGTAGGATAAAATCATAATATACAGACAACTAATATTTAAAAATGTGACAAAATTCAAATGCTTGGGAATGACCAGAACAAGTCAGAACTATGGAACTTTATATTCAAGATACAATTGCCAGCATATTACATTCAGAAGAATGCTTGCTAGCTATCCTTGCTGGCTATTGCTATGTCAACCAGATTGTAAACTACACAGTGCATTGTGGATGCAGTACCCTGATGCAGCTGCATGTGTGTCATAAAAATAGCCAACAGAATATGCTGTACTTGTTACTTTGTAAAACAATGATTTGTTTAAACTTTTGGATACTGAAGTTTCAGAATCACTGACACAATGTGAAGATTGCAGTCCACAAAGCTTACACACAGAGAAGTGTAAATTGATGCAAGAATCCTGAGCTAGTGTAGCAAAATGGAGGCTTCGGCCCACTTAAAGTTCAATTGTTGTTAAACCACAGTACATGCATTCCAGTTTTGTTTAGATGAACAGTTCTCAGGAGTTATAGCCTGTTTGTAGTTTTGCACAGTATTTCTTTGGAATATTCTTGGAAAATGTTAGCCTTAATCTGTTCCTAGTGACGTTCCTTCCACTTCCTCATGACATTGACAGATGCCACACATTCCCCTCAGTAGTCTGTTCTGTTATCACTTGAGCAAGCAGATTCCAGCCTTTTTGGCCCCCTTAGAATTCTGCATGTATTTCTGACCCTGCCACTTGTCAGAACATCCATTCTTCTCCTTCCCACTACAGGTATGCTTTGGCCACACAACAAGAAAATCATATCAGAATTTTGAGTTTCGTGTGTTTATTTTTTGACTGAGATTAAATAATATTGTGACTAGTATGTGTGTGTGTTTTTTTTGTGTGCATGCGTGCGCGCACACTTGATCTTGTATTTACTTCTTGTGAGAAGCATGTTATATAAATGTGGTGGTAAGAGTATTAAAATCCCTGTGTAAATGCAGATCTATGTAAAGTTATCATTAAAGTCAAGGGCAGTATTCCAGAAGCAGAAAGCAATATAATTATACTGCTGTACTAATCAGACAATGCACATGAGAAGCAGTCAAAATTTACTGAAAATGAATTGCCAAACTGAATTTAAAAACAATTTTGAAATGTAAGCTTTGAGGTTTTCACAACGGTGACTATGAAGAATGCCGTCTTCTGGGATGTGGCGCCGTGTAAATCTCGTGTAAACCGACGTTTCAGAGGAACGTATCACCTTCATCTTCAGGGTAGATGAAGCGATATGTTCCTCCGAAACGTTGGTTCACACAAGATCTACACAGCGCCAGATCCCAGAAGATGGAATTCTTAAATTTTGAAATGATTCAGTGTCACAGGCGTCTCTGCCTCTATCTTGATCAAAAGGCATAAAAGAAAGATATGATTCTGCCTGGGAGGTGATAGAAACTCCATTTCTTGGCTTGTACATATTGTAACCGTACAATGCAAAGGACTACAATGTTTTGTTCACGTGTGTCGGTACTTGTCAATACATCAAAGCAGAGGCATACCTCACNACTAGAGAGAGGTGGCCCTCTAACGGTCATAACTCTCCAAATGTTAAAACCTGCTTTTAGAAAGGAGCGGCGAATTATTTCATTAGTAGAGGAACGGGACCAATTTTCAACTCCTGATTCACCACGGACCTACCCTTAGGAGACCGTTAGATTGAACCCTCTCAATCCACCCCGGGTCAGAAAGACGGTGAAAGCGTGTGAACCCCAACTCTCGCCGTGAAACAGCTGACCATTGGAGGAATGAGAAATCTATCGAACCCCTCCCCCTTCTAAATTCAGCCAACCCGCAGATTTGGAAGATGGCAATGAGGCGTTCCTCAAATTTTGGCAGGACCTCTGAATCTTCAAAAACAGAGAGTCAGTTCTTTTTAAAAGTCTCGTAAGAACGGTTAAACTCGCCGGACGCGGAGCTAGCCCTCTCCATTGTCTGTCAAGTGAAATTAGTGTTCGAGCAACGGGAGATCATAGTAAAGTAACGCACTGAGTTGTATCTCAGTGGAGCTCAGATTAAAAATCAATAAAGTTAAGTGGTGCCAAGTGTTTGTGTGTCCAGAGTGTTTTTTTCCCCTCGTCGGAGTAAGGCCCTAAACGACCTGAGCCAGAGTCTCACGCCAACAACTACTAGCCCGATCATCATCATCTCCCACCCCGTCCACATTTTCCCTTCACTTCGCAGCTGTACCCACAGTTGCTGGCGCCCATAGACCATCCAGTCCAAGTCCCGGACCTGATACCCTTTCCATAGTGAAGAGAAGTGGTGGAGTTGGAGAAGCGGTGGAGCCAGGTGAAACAGACCTAGCTGCAAGCTCCACCACCAACGACGGCAGTGGTGAGAACAACAAGAGAAAGGAAGGAAGGTAAAGAGTAGCGACCAACCGGTGTGGCTAGAGGCTACACAGAGGGGGATGGTAAGAATATCCCTGATGAAGCACCTATCAACATTGGTCGGGCCGTGGCTGGTAAGTGGCACACATGAGGAAGTGGGGAGGATATACAGACAGCAAGGTAATCTCATAAGCCTCTTTTTATTTTATTTTTTTCCAAACTAAAGACAGTGGGCTAAAAAGTAAACTACTATGGTATGCGAATTTATATAACACATACTGTCCTGTAACTGTACGTCCCTCGCCAAAATTGTTTAACTAAGGGCATGAACAACGGAGGCATTGTTTAATGCCATGAGAGATGCTCCATCGGCGAGATACCATCCCAGGACCGTCTACTTGTAATTCAGCTATTGTCCTTCTTAGGCTAAGGGTGTCACTATTGTCCCTAATATCGCCTGTTTACTCCCAGTATCATAAACCCATGAACTGACCATGTGCGAGACCGGCCAGGAGGGGTCTTGGGTTCCTTGAAAACCTACAAAAATTTATGGCTTCTTTAAAATGTAGGTCAGATGCCAGGCTCGACCCTTGGCTTTCTCTTTTATGTTTCTATTTTTTTTCGTTTTAGGCCAGCTGGAGGACTTGAAAAGATAGGGCAGTCGGTTATAGGGAGTGGAGGAGGACAGTAGTTGAAAGGTAGATAGAGAAGAGAGAAGTGTTTAACAGTAGGGTAGTGAGTAGGGCGGACGGAGTGGCTAGCTTGAAGGACAATGTAGATATTAACCATTGAATGAAATTTTAAATTAAAAGTACTATATTCAGTGTTCTGGAGATCCCAGATTTATTAACCCCGAAGTGTGTTCCACTCCAATCTCCGAAGCACCCATATCCTGAGAAAAAGAGCAAGGTCGTGGCAGCTGTACATTGGAGGGCGGCTACAGTCCTCTCCAGTCACCAGCTGCAGATGTATAGAATAACTTAGGGTCTGCAACTTTGTGTTCTGATGCAAGTCCAAATTGGCCAACCGAAACAATAAGTACTGGCCGGCTTTTACTGCCAAATTGTACTCTTAGTTCAGGGACACACCCAGCTTCAGTATACCACCGGCAACAATTGTCTGAAAATCATATAGACGTTTTGAGCGCTTTGAGGGCTTTGAGCTTGCACAGTGCACGTGGTGGGGCTTTTTGTTGGCAGGTAGCATGTCTGGTATATGAACTGCTCTTGTTTCTGGCTCAGAGCTGGTAAAATGTCTTGAATCAGTGTGTGTTGCACCATGATTGCTATATTCCTCTGTATAACATGATGCTTACTCTCAAAACCGTGGAAAGAGTTGGCTACAATTGTAAGAATTGCACGAAGAAAAGTGCTGTATTTTGGCCTTTATTGCTCACTGGGAGGCTTAGGAGAGTGAAGAGAAACCAAGTAATACAAATCGACCTCTGATTAAATAAAAAGTAAATAAACTTGTTAGGGTGTAAGTGTGAAAGAAATCTTTAGTTGAAACAAATTAAGTTTCAGAATAATGTGTTGTGATCGAATTGATAACACATTTTGACCTCACTTCCTTTTCTATGGATTGTGGCTTGGGAGAGTCTTTGAAAGTCAATGAGCAGTTTCTTCTTGTAGACGACATGTTTTCAAGACCGGTAGCTCAAATTGCAAAGCAGTGAATGATGAGATAAGTGGAAATGAACAGTAAAAGATGCGGAAGGAAGCAGTCATGGCCTATCTGAGGTACTATTTCAGCACTCGTACTTTGAAATTATTCCTAATCATAACCATAAATAATATTATTCATTCAACATCTTAGCAACCGAATGTGGTGGTCGAGAGTCCCTTTTTCGTTTTTTCTTCTCAATCCCTCAGGCAAGTGTTTGGATAATACCTTGAAACAGGCCATGGCCGCTGCCTTCCATAATGCTGTATATCTATACAGCTTAGAGGGAGTCGTTAAATAAGGGAACAATCAAATCTTCCAGCATCTCATAAACTTCCCCTTCATCGTATGCATACCGTAGGGCGTAAATTCTGCCAGGAACACTGCGTTTGTGTACAAAACATACAAATTGCGGCTCACCTGGTAAATACGCTGCTGTCGGACAATGTTGTTTAGAGGATGACAGCACTGAGAGCTAATATGAGGGGTCATTAAATTGAGGCAGGTTTGTGTTAACAGTGGGTTTTATACTGTTGTGGTGCTGGTTGAAGGCTGTTCGTATCTATACTTCTTTTGTAATTAAGTCCAGTTTACTCCAGCTTTCATCATGCTTTTGTGTCACTGTCCCCCAGTGATCGTCATACTTAGCAGACATGTTTATATTAATAAGGGAATTACATTCATCATTTCAAGGTATGACTATCACAATTATCTCGGCACGAGATACTAGTCCTTCATAAGCAAAACAGAGTTTTGGGTAACGTGCATTGAAAAGAGAGAGAGAAAAAACGGACCGATTCTGACAATGAATGACATGTTGAATGAATTTGTGAGTCAGATAAGGGATTCTATTCTTTCGGATATAATACAGTATTTCAGGGACTTGCAGATTACAGTGGAAGAGCATTTTCTACCTGTGGTAGGTTACCCGCGATTACGAAACAATTTGTGTTCCCTTTCACAGAACGATTATCACCGAAACAGTATGAGGAATGAACTGACATTTCAACAGACACAGGTTTGAAAGATACATATACAAACGTTCCTCAGACTAAATTTTGGACTGGCATAAAGGAAGTGTTTCCACATATTTAAAGTGCGACTTTAGAGTAGCTATTTCCGTTTCTATCCGCATGTCTGGGCGAAACAACGTTCTCATGATTTCCATAAAACAAAAACGAAACATAAAAATAAATTATGTGAAGAACCAATCGCATAGAAAACGACGCGTCCACGTGCATATTAGTTGCAGCGGGAACATACTCACCGAGCCATTGCCTAGCTACGAAACGGAACGCATAGACAGCAAAGCGATCTCATCAACCTCATTTCATTTTTTTTTTTTTGAAATAAGGAATGTAGGCTAAAATCGCGCTCAATGCAGACACAACATGAAGAAACAGCTTTCCAAAACTGCATCTGACTTCAAGGACTTTATGGCCAGCATATCCTCGCAACGTATTACATAAGTACAAGTCCATTCGTAAAATATGGGATGGATTTAATTTAGCTGTATCCATACACGGTTGCGAATTAAAAATAAGTACTTACAGAACGTAATGTTTATTTGGAGCGTTTAGACAAAATGTTCCATTATCAGAAGGTTTCGCAACAGTAAAAGTTTTGAGAAGCACTACTCTAAACTAACTTTATGGGGCAGACTGCTTGAGAGCTTAATAGTCGCTCGGCGATTGATTCTAAATCGTTTCCTTTTTATAGTCATGAATATCGGTAAAATACTGACATGGATCCAGATTTCTCCATACGAGAAATATAAACACAACGTCACGACAGAGTCCATCACACGTGGAACGGTAACTAAACCATCTTAACCGAACGTTTAAAATGTTAAGATGAATGTAAAATAGTTAAGATAAATAATCGCGCACTTTATGCAACGACATCGACACAGACGTCAGTTTGTCTTAATTTCTTACTGGATATAGGTTACTATTTACCAAGTAACCAAGTTCCTTAATGATCGGAAACATGGACGTAATTTAGACGACCCTATGTCCGTTACGCCTTTCACACCGCAGCTTAAAAAACGGTGCTACCAGCTCACCTCGAAAGGAATGCGTGAGAGCACAATTTATAATTGAAGTTTCTGCTCCGTGATGCGTGTCTTTGGTCTACGAGGCATTATTAATTTCTTTGCTGAGTAAGCGAATTACAAAAGAAATCAATATCGCCGCACTGGCCAAATCCGCAATGCTGCCAGCGAAACCCTTTTTACACACTCCGTCTCTAGGCACTAAATATAAATAAGACTACATGCATTTTCACCATTTTGTAACTGGCTATAAATACAGTTTAAAAGTTATGCTGGCTCCAGATGTTTTCGAGATACGGTGACAATATGATATTTGTTTGGGCTAGTTCGATTAAATGCAGCGCATTCGTCTCATGCAGGAACCTGCAAGGTTCACCATTCAGGACAGAATTAATGTAACACTGCAATGTTGTTCTCAGGAACTAAAGAAGACCTTCACCTACAGCTGGATTCCGACAATACACACTAACTCGAAACTGGAAACCGTACAATATCAGTGTCACTTCATCAACCTTATATATACACATTCTGCCGCCTGGCCGATTTCATTCTAATCTTTTAACCTCTGAATAAGAAAACAGAGGCTTGTGTTTGGGAAGTGTCTCTTTAAGTAGGGAGGCCCAGATCAATATCTGTTCGAACGGCCTTTCTCTCGTCTTACTGTCTTATCGGACACCACAAAATACCATACCTGCAGCTCCCCTTGCAGATCCAGAGGACTCGAACTCATGACACCTGCCTCATCGCAACAAACACACCAGCAACGCCAGCAACTGACGTAACAATGCGTGTTGCCGCAAAAGCCTTTGCTGAAAAACTGTCGCTCGGCGCACGACATGCGCACTACGCGTGTGGGTGTATTCCAAAATGGCTGAAATTGTCTGCAATCGACGAAACGCATCCTTGTCCTAGGTTGTATTACAAAGCTCAAGCAACGCTACATAACCTAGAGGTTAGGTAGCGTCTAATACAATGCCAACTTTATTAGCGAGAGATATGCCAGGAGAGCGACCGTGGTTATTTTAAAGTACAATCCAAGCAATAATGGACTAACAAAATCCAGGCAACTGTTCAAGTATGGCCAATCCTCAGGCAGTGTCGAAGTTAGACACCTCTTGATCATGTTAACATAGAACTAAAAAGCTTTGCATGAAGAAACCAAGGCAGGTTAAAACCACACTCCCTTATTACTGTGTGCAGCAGGTACTTATGGTTTTTTATTTTCTTTACTACTTGCTGGATTTATATTGTCTCTAATGAAGAATGGTTGTGCATGATGGCTGTAGAAGTGGCCACAGTCTATTTTATGCTACTATACAAGCATTTCCCCAAGGTTAATTATGCTCTAAGTAACCAACTCCTTTGAGAAGCTAATATTCATTAAGCTAGTCAAGAAATTCTCACCTTTCATGGAACCTTAGGGTTCATTATTGTGTTCATGGGCCCACCATTTCAGCCTATCCTGCACAAGATGAATCCAGTCAACATACACACCGTTTTTCAAGTTCAGTTTAGTTCAGTTCAGTTTATTGTAATATTCAATCAATCAAGAACAGGGTACAAATGTCGCCAGTCTGATATAGAACCAGTCACAGATATACAAGACACCAAATACTCAAAGAATATACTGTGCCATTTTAATGTTATTTTCAGATACATTTAGGTCTTCATCAGCTGGAACCTTCCCTTTAAGTTTTCCAAATAACATTCTGTATGTATTTCTCACCATTTGTTTTCATTCAATGTGCCCAGCCCATTTCCTAGTTATCATCCAAATTAGGCTATAGGAAACAGTTTCTGCAGCCTTCTGTTACTTCCTCTCTCTGAGGCTTATTTATTTAATGCCCATAAAGAACAGGTAAAATTAGTGTTCTGTATCTTAATCACTGTATTTTATACATGAAATAGAAAGGCAAAAGAATCTGAACTGAATGGTAGCAGGCATTCTCTCAATTTGTTGGTAAATAAGTCAATAATTTGACCCTCTTACTGTTGTATTTGAACTTCTCCACAATTTAAAAGGCTTTATTAGCTATTGTTACATCATGGCTTTCTCTTTCATTCTGGTGATGAGGTATGCATGCAAAATACATAGTTTTTTCCTTTGTTGACATCTATATATAATTCTGTTAAGAGAGCAAGGACACTTTTCTATATACGAGGGGGTACCCAAAAGAAACCAAACTTATTTTTTTTAAACTTATTTATTCAAATTTTAAGCACAAACCTTCAATCCCCTTCAAAGTACTCTCCACTTACACTAATACACTTGTCTAGTCTTTTATTCCATTTTTCAAAACATTGTCTAAATTCATCTTTTGAGATGCTTGACAGCGCCTCCGTCGTTTTTTCCTTTCATGTCTCTTTTCATTCGAGGAAACAAAAAAAAAGTTGCACGGGGCAAGGTCGGGTGAGTATGGAGGGTGAGGAACAGGGGTCATACCATTTTTGGTCAAGAATTGTCATACAAACAGGGCTGTGTGAGCAGGGGCATTGTCATGATGGAAAAACCAGTCACCCGACTGCCACAAATCTGGGTGCTTCCGCTTCAAAGGTCCATCGTCGATCTTCCTTGATGATTTCACGAATTTTTTCAACATTTTCATGTGTTCGGGCCGTGGAAGGATGACCAGAACGAGGTTTGTCATCAATTGACATTTCACCATTTTTGAAACGGGAAAACCACTCAAACACTTGAGTTTTCCCCGTAGCATCATCCTTGTACGCTGTTTTTAACATTTCAAGAGTTTCTGTTCCACTTTTCCCGAGCAAAACGCAGAATTTCACTGCCGCACGCTGTTCTCGAAATCAGCCATTGCAAAAACGACGATCACACAAAACAGTTGTCACTATAAACTCTGCCAAAACTAGTCCTTACCTTCTGAAGCAACGGTAGTCGGCTTATCGACTCAGGAATGTTAGCTCTATGCGCTCATAGCGGCAAAACGCGGTACTACAAAAGCTCTGCCCACAAAAAAATTAGTTCGGTTTCTTTTGGGTACTCCATCGTATGATACTTGTACTTTCATTCAATCAATTAAAGTCATCAGTATAGACCATTAAATTTCAGTTCCTCTTGATTTTCTTGGACCTTTCTAGTGGCATACTCCAAAGAAAACTGGGAAGACATGATTTCAAACCATGCTGCACAGCAAATATATCAGACAAGTGATGTATGCTATACAGACAATATACTTGACAAAGGGGAAAGTTATTAGATAAATAAAATAGTACAATAAATTCTCTGGAAAGCACTTCTTTAAAGCATATAGGTTATGAAGGCGTTTTTAGACAATCTGTTTGGAAACAATGAATGAAGGTAAAGTGGCCATAGATGCAAGTCATGAGACAGACATGAGACATGTGAATAATTATGATTTTACTGATATAAATTTAATTGCCAGGCAGCTGCAGAATTTTGGTTTGTTATTATAATGCCAGCAGAGTGGTAACTTCCATTTATCATCGTTAAAAAATTAAATCCTGTTCTTAAGTGTTTACTAAAACTATCTTCATAGAGCTGAGCCCATCTTGAGCAGTTGCCAGTTGTGCAGCTACTCAAGAACTTTCCAGCATTTTATGGAACCCGAAGGTTCATTACCATGTTCACAAGAGCCCTCCACTGGTCCCTATCCTGAGCCAGATTGATCCCATCCACACCATCATATCCTATCTAAGATCCATTTTAATATTGTTCACCCTCCTATGTTTTGGTCTTCCTATTGGTCTCTTTCTTTCTGGCTTTCCGACCAGTATCCTACATGCATTCCTGTTCTCCCCCTTTTCATGCTACATACCCTGGTCATCTCATCCTCCTTTACTTGATCATTCTAATTATGTTTGGTGAGAAGTAGAAGTTATGAAGCTCCTCATTATGCAGTTTTCCCCAATCTCCTGTCACTTCTTCTCTCTTCAGTCCAAACATTTTCCTTAGCACCCTGTTCTCAAACATCCTCAGTCTGTGTTCCTTCCTTAATGCCAGACACCAAGTTTCACACACATACAGAACAACAGGCAAAATTATAGTTTCATAGCTTCTAATTTTTATGTTTTTAAACAGTAGATGAAAAGATAATGGGTTCTGGACCGAATAGTAGCAAGCATTACCCGAGTTCAATCTCCTCTTAATTTCCTGCTGAATCAAGCTCTGATTTGTTACTGTAGTTCCCAAATATCTGAATTGTGTTTACTAGCCGTGATGATGTAAAATCACATACAACACAACAGGGAACTATGAGTACTCCAGTATGGAGTATACCTTCCATTCTTCTTAGTATTTAGTAGACAGAAATTGAACCATCTGATGTTTTTGGATCAGTGACTATAACAATGTCTTGCTGCCTTGGGGAGGAATAATGGAGGGACCCTGAGCAGCCTATGGCAATTCCAAAAGGTTAGAGGTAAAGTAGTCCTTGTACTTATTTATGTAGTTAAGCACTATGCCATGAAGACATATGGGGGAATGAAGGTATAGCTCCACCATTCTTAATCTCAGCACTAGAAAGAGGTGACTGGCCAGCTTCACACCCTCTCCACTTTACCTTCAGGGTTTGAGTCCCAGTACTGAATGGATAGGAGGCTGGGTAGGCCCTAGAGCCAGTCTGGACACTATGGAGATGAGAAAAATCTATTATCTCTGCCAGGAATTGAATCCCAACTCCTTGGTGGTCCAGCCAGTAGCCTAATCACTATACCGACTGAGCTATCCTGGCTTCACCCATAGCAATTATGACAGTAACTTGTGGTACTTGAATCTGAATAATATTTATTTTGCAGCAGATTCGATGCTTTCTTAGAAACCATTGCTTTTGTTTCTAAGGTTGAAATTTTCATGTTGAGCTGTTCATCATGGTTTTGGAGACTGAAAGGGATTTCTGCATGATAATTTGATTGTTCAGAAAACGTACATTCTCTAAATTTATTTCTCCACAATGAAAGATGTCATTTTTTTACATTCAGTAAACTCCAAGAGACCTTGCAGTTTACTGAACTCCAGCTGGGACCCATCACTCATTATAAACAAAATGGAAAGTTTTATGAAAGATGACACAAGAAAAAGATTAGAATGGCATGAATCAGCTGATGCCCAGCACACTCCAAATATACTCGTACCTTGTCCTATTAATGAAGAAGCTATGTGATGCAATGGGAAAGTGGCATACAGATCCTCTGTGAAAGTGCTACTGCAACAATTTAAGTAGTTTTGGAAAAAAAGTAAGTTGATTTCTCTAGTGACTTACTCTAACACAGACACATACAGTGTTTACTGGGTTTGTAAGAGGGAGGTGACACTGCAGTGTAAGTAACAAATAAAATAGATGATTTTGCTGACCCACGCATTCTTTAACACAGAATCAGATCAGTCAGCCCAATGACAGAAGGTGGAAGCAGAAAGGAGACTGCAGCATAAGTAGTCATAACCACTGTTTCATAGAAAAGGAAGGAAACATCTGAGGTTTAAAAAATAATCTTTTATTTCCCCCTCATAAATCAGGTGGAGGAAATGGAGTGATGGAGACAGTTACACCAATAAGTACAATTCATCAACAAATTATAATAAAATGTGAATTATTAATTATCTACTTAGTGCTGTGTGTAAATATAAACCAAATTATAGAAATATAAGTGATACTGGGATACAGCAGTAGTTATAGAACAAAAATTTTGGCCAAGAGACCAGGCATATTAGTATATAAAAGAAAATGAAGATATTGTTATGGCTTTCTCATTAAGCAGTAGTATTCAAGAACCTTAAGCACAGAAAAATATTTGGAATATTGCACAATGAGAAATATGTAGAATTTGGAAGATGTTGTCAACCTACTTACAAAATCAATAAGAGGAATGATTTTACAAATCTTGGTAAAAGAATATCTGGAGAAAATGCTTTGTCATTGCACATGATTTTATCTTGTACATAAAATGTTTTATTCTATAAATGACACCCACTCACTCACTTATGGAGCTGAGACCTTCTTGAGGAGAAGCCAAATCTGCAGCTACTCAAGAATTTCCCAGCATTTTATGGAACCTGAAGGTTCGTTACCATGTTCACAAGAGCCCTTCACTGGTCCCTATCCTAAGCCAGATCAATCCAATCTATACCATCTCATCCCATCTCTCTAAGATCCATTTTAATATTGTCCACCCACCTACACCTTGGTCTTCCCAGTGGTCTCTTTCCTTCTGGCTTTCCCACCAATATCCTA